AATGGGAGACTGTGCACACACACACAGAGCCTTGAATTTGCAAGACAGGAAATAACTAGTTTACTTTATTGTGGTCATTGAAGGCTATCAACATTATTATATGCAAGATGAAAAGTGGCTCAGAGAGGCCACTTGGTCATGGGTATGCTAATACTTGGTACCTTAGATAGCAGCCCAGCAGCCAACGGGCATTTGCACAAATATTGTAGTTGACCTTCAGATGCCATCAGTAAATTATTTGTTTAATGGGTGACAAATAAATCTTCCAACTCATGCATCATATAATGAGACAAATATACATATTTTCTTTTTAAACGAAGTATCCTTGGAAAATTTGATTACTGAAACATAAACATGGTTCTATGCATTTGCATGTGAACAACACATGGAAAACACAGCTATAATTAAACAATCACCTGCATCTCCTCCTGCTATGGCATCTGAGATGTTATGGTCAAGATCAGAAACGACCTTCAGAGTTTAAATGAATATTATACTACGCACAAGTTTTACAGGATTCAGCTAAATCACATAATGAGCTTTTGCAATTTATCACAATAGAGGGGAAATGTAAAAACTAAACCATGAGTCCACAACATAATATTTATAAACAGTATCTGGGATGAAAAAGTGTGCTTAATCAACCTGTACTTAAGAGCCCCTCTAAAGGGGGCTGGGGATTTAGCTCAGCGGCATAAGTGCCTGCCTTGCAAGCAGACAGTCGTGAGTTCGATCCCCGGTACCAGTAAAAACGAAAAAGACAAAAAAAAAAAAAAAAAAGAGCCCCTCTAAAGCACCACTTCCTTCCTGTCATGTGTCTGCCACACAACACATCGGTCGATGGCCTTGGCCCAGGTGTCATCCATTCCAAATGCCCACACTGTGGGCTCCTGTCTCAGGGGTTACAGTATGAGCTGGTGTGTGTTTGCAAACATATTCACACCAATCGGACATGTTAATGTAAGTTTCGTAATTAAGTTAAATACTATGTGAATAATATGTTTTTCTATAAAAACTGAAGTATGTACTTTACAAAGTCTGTCTGCAGAAGAGTCACCAAAACTAACTGCTACCCCACATTAGGTACGACTGAGACAAGTGTGACAGGTTGGACAAAGATACATCAAAAGTTTAGCAAGGTTCTGAACTCAGGATAATGTCTCTTTAAGGAAGCACACAGGCTGTATAAATACTATATAGATTTGGATATGATCCACATACATGCACACTGTAGTACTGTATGTAGTCTTCATGGGGTGTGTGTAAGAATAACAATATAGCTGGCTCATTGGGAACTATACTATATCTACAGAAATGATGGTTCAATAAGTGTCAGATGACATTCATTTATTGCATTGCCATTTTTATGATTCCCTTTGTAACAGACACACTATCAGGAAAGATTTAGTACTTCCTTAATTTATACTTTCTTAATTGCTTGTAATAAATTTCCCCATTTTAGAGCCAGGCATGGTGGTGCATTTCTGTAATCCCAGCACTCAGGAGGCTGAGGTAGGAGGATTGTTGAGAGTTCAAGACCAGCCTGGGCTATAAAGTGAGCCCAAAGCCAGCCTGAACTGCATAGTGAGACCTTTTCTCAAAAAGACTTTTGAATAAATAAATAAATAAAAATAAAAACAAATTTCCTGATGTTTAAACAGTATCATTATATCTAATGATTTTATTTTAGTAATTTATTAGGGTCATTTATGTTGCACTTACTGATTATATGCAACATAAAACATAATAACTATATACAAATAATGAAAATAATAGACAAGGGCTAATCCCTAAGTGGAGGACATCACTGCTGGTAGCTTTGCATACTGCCTGAGCAGACTGGCCAGAATGTGTTGCTATCATCCAATGTCCGTCCTGGCAAACACAGCATGCGTGGTCCTCAGCAGAAAGGCAAACTGTCTCACCCTCCCTGCTGCACCCCTTGGAGCACAGGTACAAAGCACAGAACAAACCCCATTCTACGGAGTCTCAGAGACACCTGAGCAATGATGGTTCCCTCACAAGCTGCTGCCTGGCTCTCTGCTGGCTGCACAGTGGCTGATTCGTGCTTTGGGGTAAAGAACTCTGGAAAGGAGAAAAGCAAAGGGAACTTTCTTTGATCTGCGCTCACAGGGCTGCCCCAAGAGGACACCACATAAACCCCATGGATGTAAAAAATGCACATCACACGTGCGGGTCTAACTCAACCACTCCACTTCATCATAATAACATCAGCTTTAACTTCACTCATTTTAAACAATTTCAAGTTGTCTCATGCTATTTGCAATCATGAGTCAATAGTTCTGAACTATTTTTAGTGAATGTGTAGATTTCAGAAATTGTATTGAATATTATGCTCCCCCAAGAGCCAATAAAAAGCACTGGAGATTTTTGTTGAAAACTAAGTGAAAACAGTTCCTTCACAGAACTCCTATGAAGATACTTTTCAACACAACCAAGATCAGCTGTGTAACAACAGTTAGGAATCTGTGCTTTGGAACCCAGCAACCTAAATTTCAATCTTACATCAGCCCTCCAAGGCTAGAATATTCTTAATACTAAATGGTATTATTTTCATATCATTGACAACACATTATGTATGAAAGAATTTATGTGGGGAAAATTATGGAAAATTTCTTCCCAAAGAAAGTATGATACAAAAAGATCCCCATAACAGACAAAACCAAATTCTTATTTCCAGTCCTTATCTTCAATTTTCATTTCAGAAAACAATTAAGCTTACACTTCTATGCCAATCTAACTCAGAAACACTAAAGGTAAAACGAAAAAACAAAACAATCCCATCAAACCACTAAATGTACCCACCTGGATAAAGGAGAGACTGGTCCAAAAATGACTCCTTATTTATATTTATATTTGTTTGCTTACCTTTAAACTTAATGGATGTATAGAGAATAACAGTTACCAAGAAAATAAAATAAATCTCACAGAGTGCAAAAAGTCACTGTGATGCCTCCCTAGAGCTAACTGTGGTGGAGATGACCCCTTTACACGTATCTGAGAGCTTGCTTAGAGACAGTAATCAGAATATTTAGAAACAAGCTCCAGAATGCTAATTGCACCTCTTAAAGTACAGATCTTTATGCTTAAAGCTTTTTGCTCCAAGTAATAGTTGTAAACCTGGGCTCTCTTTGAATATGTTAGTTCTATAGTATTGATGCAAAGGAAGAATTATATTCTTGCAAAGTATAAATTTCACTCTCCTCTCTGGCTACATTGCAAGTCATGTTTTAACCTCTGATAACCTTTTAGCACATAGCATAGAGCCCAGCACATGTTTTATATCCAATTAATAAAGAAGGAATAAATAAAAAACAGCAAAGCAAGTCTAAGACAGCAAAAGAGACACATGCTTGCCATCTAGTGGTACACTGTCAAAAATATACATACATGATTCCCAGAGTGTGACAAAAGTAATAAAGATGACAAAAACATTCTAACAACAGATATCTTGTCACAGATTTCATTTATCTGTGAGGAACACACTGTCCTAAAGGTGCCAAATAAAGTGATGTATGTGCATAGAGCCTGAAAACGAGCATCTTCCTCCTGTAATAAATCATACTGCAAGATAGCAATGAAGACTCAATCATACAGGAAGCATCTGGATGCCTTCACCACATACAAATACTAGATGTTTGAGTGGCAAGACATATGTACCCTGCACTGAACACCGCACAGTGGATATGGGTATCAAAACATCACAAGGTGCCCTAATAAATATGGACAACTTTATGTGTCAATTTACAAAATTAAATAAAATAGAACTTTAACATAAAAGATTTAGCTATATATAACGACCCACAAATGTGGTGCTAGGCAGTGAATGACTTTTTCTTCAGTATAACTTATTAAAGCTATGCTTTCAATCATTAAAAATATGCTGGTGTACTGGCTACAAACATTAAGGTACCGCTTGAGAAAGCAAACAGTGCTCTTCTCTCCCATCTCAATTCTGCCTGTATCTTGAGTTCATTAATAAATCATAGTCCACTCTAAAGCTGGTGTCACACCAACTCTATTCCATCTACCTCGGTGAATGTCAACGGGAACTTGCGGTCAGCAGAGAGATCACAGTTCTCTTCTCCCATTCCATCCATCAAAAGAACCAAATGTTCCCAAACTCTGTGTGCACCATCTGTGGCCTGGGGCATTTACTAGAAGCCTCTTCAGAACTCTTATTTATGTTTTTCTTGTCTCTAAAGAATCCTTGTTTTCCTGAGTCCTAGTTTTTCCATTTCACAGAGAGTCGCCCTTAAGAGTCCTTGTTTAAAGAGTGAATACACAAACAAATGCAAATGCCACAGCATATTCAGCTTCCACTAGGAGCCTCCACGAGGCTTTGTTCTGGCCACATGGGGAAGAGCATCAGAGCCCACAGCTCCTATAGCTCTTAGTTCCTCTGGCAAAGGCCAATGGGCACCATGTTCTATCCTGAGGACTCAGTCATTGTATTTAGACAGTGAAAACAAACAGGGAAATTTAAACATACAGTTTCTTATGATGCAGGCAGTTTACTGAGTAAGCAGGGGCAACTTTCTTTGTAAATAAAAAATAATCAGAACAAAAAAGGCAGTGAGGCTGGATGAGTTAATCTCTCTGGCACTGGCTGGACCCAGAATCTGCGGGATGGGCCAGCAGCTGCAGGTCGCTGCAGAGAGCTTTGGTGTGGGATGGAAGGGCACTTCCATCAGCCAGGGTGTCCTATACTAGAGGGAGAGGGCAGAAGAGCCAAGAAACAGGCACAGAAAAAGGTGCTGAGTCTTGTAATACTGTATTCACACATTTTATAAAAACACATCGACTGAAAGAAGCCCCGGCTCAGTTTTCCGTGGGTAAAGCGCTTAGCTCTGCATACTTCTGTATACATTCTGCAACGCATTTAGCAAAAGAAGTGCCACGCAAAGTGCTCTAAACACTGAGTGTGACCAAGTTTGTGGCTGGAAAACCACAGAAGCTGATGTGTCCCTTGTACTCACCGTGGTGGTGGTGGTGACCTCTTCGGTCACGACTTTCAGCGTGTCGACCACGGAGATGTAGCCCAGCCGCTTCGCGATGGCCAAGGCAGTGTTACCATTCTGAAGGGAGAGTGAAAGAGAGGAGAGTGAGGGGGGAGAGGGAGGACGGCAATGTGGGCCAATGAGATCACCCACAGCTCTGCATGAGCCAGCATTTCCTTCCAAAACAGGATCAGCTTAGGAAAATCACTAGTTTTTACCATTACATCTAAATCTGTCTTTGTAACTTCTTTAGACTATAGCCCAGGTCACCATGGTAACACAACAAGCTGGAGTCTGCTTGCTCTTTTTAATAAGAAGCACTTGACGCTTTAACCCTAAGGTTGTCAAACATCTAAGAAGCCCTGAGATTAGGAAAGCATGTGCTGAATTGAAGATGATGCCTCCGAAGACTCTCGGGAGCATCAGGTACACTTAGCCCTACCCGAGGTCGGGCATCTGCCGCGGGTTACCCCTGGGAACATAGGGACATATGTAGCTCCAGCTGTGTGGGAGCACAGGCTGCAGCAAATTAACACAAGCCGGAGATTCAGGCCGCCTGCCTGGGATCCCAGTTTGTTTAACTGCTCCGCTTAGTTTACATTTCAATTGCTCCACATCCCCAGGAGCCTCTGAGCCAGCAGCTCTGAAAAGCTGCTCCCTCCAGAAAGCAGGGAGGGAGGGCTCTACCCCTGCTCACATCTGAGCGCCAGCTGCAGGCAGAGGAGTTTCAGCAGTCTGAGCGCAGGGCTCTGCTCTCCAGAGAACCAACAGGCGCATGGCCAACTGGTGTCCCTCCCTAGGGCGGGCACTCTCGGGAAGTCACACTGACTTCTGGGAAGGTTTTTCTAGAAGTCAGGGGCTTTCCAGAGTGTGGAAGCTCATTTAAGTTGCACATGGGAGCTCAGACATGAGACCACTTGGGCCAGAGAGGAGGAAGTTCAGAGTGCTTACCGCGGTGGTGGCGTTGGGCTTGGCTCCATGTTGCAGCAGGACATTGATGATGTGTGTGTGGCCCTGCTGGGCAGCCTGGTGCAGAGGTGTGTAGCCATTCTGGGGTTGGAGGTGGCAGCAATTTGCAGGGGGACAGGAAAGTGAGATTAGCCTTCATTTTCACTTCCTAGTCTTATTTACAACAAAACCATTGAGGATGCTTTTGTTTATTTGGAGCCCAGTTTTCCCAGCAACCCATTTCTCAGCAGCAAACCCTCCCTCACACCTTCTGCTGCTAAACAAAGAGACCAGCTTATGAAACAAGGAGATAAAAAGCCTCTCTGAAAAAACTATTCATATCTGGTGAGCAAATTAGCAGTAAAAAATGGGTATGCACAGAAGAGATTTAAAATGGGAAAGGACATTATCGCTGGTTTCCCCCCTACTTCGGAGGTAAGGAAGATTAAACTTATTTTTGAAAGAAGGCTGCAGAGGGTCACAAAAACTCTTTTATGCTTGTCCTGCCTTTCCTAGAAGTTAACCTTTGGGTTTGCTTTACAGTTTCTGAATCAATGAAAATAAATCTAAACCTATACTCATTTCCAGGAACAGCTTTGGGTATAGAACATATCCATACACTTGGAGAATAAAAGATGTTATCAGACTTAAGTGGCCCATCCTCAGTAACAACAGAAACGGTCTTAAAAAACTAGTTTTTAACATTCTGGTCTGAATGTTCACAGGATTGAAAGCCCTGTAGTCTATGATTTCTGAGGAGTCATTGGCAAGGTTAGTGAGGCCAGTCCTGGCTGAGAACTGCAGTGGGCAGTGAGGTGTGATACAGGATTTGTGTACTAACATTAATTTAAAAGTCAGGCCCGAATGCTTGGAGGTACAACCAGTAACAAAAGCCATCACGGTGCCAAGTGCTGGACCCTGAAGTATTTTTTCCTTACTCTTTAAAGCACCTTGAAATGAGGATGTTTGGTGCATCCAAGGTATTTCATAAAGAATGGCTGGTGAAAGGAGTAATGAGAAATAATTTGATAAATGGTTGTATTTCTCCCGATTTGCAGAGATGATGAAATTGAACACAGCAACTAAGCAACTTCTCCACAGTCAGTCTTAGGTTCAGGTGCTGTGTACACTATGACAACACAGTGGTTTTGTGACTCAGAACTACTTTCCTAATCTACTTGCCCCACTTCTGACAAGTTACGGTTTTCAGACACAGCTGCGGTAAACTTTAAGGTCTGAGTGGCCCATTTGCATCCCACGTGAATCTACACCCAGACCTACACGTGTATACTGCCTTCTACCCAGTGTCCTTGTGGCCCATGATCGTGTGGATATTGCTCGTCCTACAGGAACCCACTGTCTACCTGCAGGACAAGCACATCGTTTGCTTCTTCTGTGTGTACCCATGGCCTCTGTCCCCTTGCACAAGGGTCATTCTGTCCAAGAGACCCTGAGTCTGGTGTACCCGCCACTAACCACGGAAGAAGCCTAATGCCTGCCATACCTCCCTACAACCAAGTGAGCCCAGGGAAGTTGGAAACATGGCGCATGGACCATGGAGCTCTGAGAAGCCTTCAGTTATTTCACTGATGCACAGACACTTGAGCAACATAAAGTGATACTTTTCCCCCAAACTTCTTCCTTTCCATTGTGATACCAACCAACTTTTGTTCATGTCTTCAGTATCATCCAAGTTGATTCATTTAAGAAGTGTTTACTAACCATATGCTATGTGCTAAACAACTTAGCACATAAGTTAGTAACATGACGTATGATAAACTAATCCATATAAGTATAAATAACTATTGGTCACCTACACGTGCCATAAATTGTAACAATGGCATGTGACAAACTACCAGGAGATGATGCTGAGGAGAAAATCAGATTGTGTTCCTCTACCTACAGGCAGGCTGACATCAGAGTGATATCAGCAAACATCTAAAAGGGGGCAGGGTACAGATTTGAAGTTTGGGGGCACGGCTTGAAAGAAGCTTAAAGAACTGGATGAAACGTTTGAGTTCAAAGCTGTACGGGCAATCAGTGAGGCTGGTACTCAGAGCTGGCATCAGGGGACTGCAGGTCAACCTCAGCCTCCCATTAACCTGTTTACTGCCCTGGCTTCCTGTTCCCAGGGATAAGATGCGCCAGGCATGGAGAGCCCATTGTTGGTACCGGACAGCTTGAAGTCTTTTAGGTCACTCTCAGGCAGGTCCTGACCCAGATAATCTAGATATAAATTAACAGCCTCACTCCCAGGACATCACGGTCCAGGGGGCCCCAGTGGACTCCGAGGTCAGGAGACTGTCCTTGTGTTCTGCCAGGGAAGCTGGAACAACTAGAAAACCTTTACAGGAGCATTTGACTGAGGTGCAATCTACTTTTGCAGGTCCTACTGGACAGGAGTTCTAGACCCCACTTGTCCACAACAGTCAGCAGATCCCAAAGCCCCTGGTCCCTTATTTTCACAGTTGTAAAATCACCAGGATATCAAGTCTGACCAAGGATCAAACAAATTGTCCATGAAAATAGTTTTTAACTTTTAAAATTATATAAAAATGTCACCAAACATTGGCTTTTCCTCTCATTAAAGAGCTCCACAATCTGTGCAGTATATTTTATGAAGAAAATTTCCTTTCATACGCAGTAGTTCAATCTTCCTCAGAAGGTAATTCACAAAGTCTGTTTTACCTTAAGCCACTGGGACACAGTTTCATTTTCATTTTAAGCAATTAATAATTCCATACATTTCCAAATCTTTTATATCAAGTTGTGAGTCATTCTGGAGTAAAAGCAGTATGCCCATCTGTATTTGCTTTTTTTTTTATTGTGATACTGGGTTTTGAGCTAAAGGCCTTCAAAACTGACTTCCATTCCCAGCTCTTTTCTATATTTTACTTTGAGACAAGATCTAAATGGTGAATATGTTGCATTTTCAAAGCAATGACACAATCCTTTAGTAACTACTACACATGAAATGTCAGGAACAAAATGTAACTCCTTCCCCAGAGATATCATGCTATATGAAAAAGTTCTGAAGGGTTTATTAAATGTTCTCCCTGGCAGTCTGATCTATCAACTACCCTAAGTATAAATTTCCAAATACCACAGTTCACCACAAAACAAACAGTGACAGGTTTGTCACAAATGAAAGGTATGCAGGTCAGGCTGTCTGTCTGTACTTCCTCAAGGGGGACAGGGCCATGGATAGGAGTGGAGTCAAGGGCTCAGGGAGAGGTAAAGGAAATCTGCCAACACAGCCATTGTTCTAGCAGGTGTCTATTTTAGCCTGCAGCTCCTTACTAAACTAATCTCATTACCTTTTGGTAAAAGCCATTCTGAAGCTAACTTACATGGCTATCACAGGTCATTAGAATAAAAAGTCTCAAAAAATTACAAAATTTTGTAATTTTGTTCTAAATCATGATTTGTTCTAAATCACTTTAAAAGAACTTAAAAATAATTATAGCTGTGGTAGCTGGCAAAGTGTTCAAATGGCTGAACCTATCTGCTTACAGAAAAGACAGATAAATCCAAGTATTTTACCTTGGTTTTTGCATTGACATTCGCCCCCTGCTTCAGCAGAAAGTTGACCATTTTCACATTTCCATAGTGACAGGCCACAATTAAAGGAGTGTAACCGAGCTGTAAATAACAAATAAATCAGAAACTCATAAAGAAGAAGCATTATTATTTTAATGGGCAATAACCAAAGGGAGAGAGGAATTAGGTGGAATTTCAGTTATTATAGGGTAGATGGAAAATCAGTTTAGTTTACTTACATAATATTTAGTGGATTATATAACGTATCTTGTGAATACAAAGATGGACCCCTGGCCATGTAAGAGTTTACATCAGCACCAGGGATCAGAAATGTATGTGATTTAACTAAGAAAGAGTTACACATACAACATAATTTGAGACAGAGAAAGTGACAGACTCAGAAGAGGATGAAGAAATACAGGAAAGTTTAGCTAATTGGGGACTTAAAGCCTAATCAAAATTTAGTGACCTAGAAAGGGAAAAAAGCCATGGTGAAACCAAAAAAGCATGGAGCTGAGCAAGCCCAGAAGGACACCAGCAGATCACTGGCACAAAAAAAAGCAAGCAGGAAACAGTGGTCCCAGCATGGGAAACCGGAGTCTTCCTGCGGAGGACCTTGACAGCACACTGTCCATTTGGAGCCTCTGGAGGTCTTTTGGGGAGGGGACCTGACATGGGTTGACCTGAATGAGCCCCGACTGGGATTTCCCCAGAGCTCTCATGACCCGGTCAATGACTGGCCTTACTTTCGTATGTGCATCCTGGTCAGCCCCGCGCTTGGTCAGAATCTCAGCAACGTTGACTTTATCCTCTTGGGCCGCAAGGTGTAAGGATGTGAGTCCACTCTGGAGAGGGAAAGATACACAAGAGTTTGCTTGAGGAGGAAACACACTGCACTGGGCAGCACCCAACACCAAGTCTCGGAAACTGCTGGAAAACTCAGAGCCTCTCTCCCCAGGAACCGCGCCTACAATATCCGAGAAAAACTTTCAAAGTTAATGCAACTTTTCATCAAGACTTACTCTCTAAGTCTTGGCAAACTGCATTTTCTATGTTGGGTATTTTTGATATGAGACTTAAACAACCCAGCTAATAAGCTTCCAGATGACATTCACTTCCAAGCCAGCTAGCTGAGCCTTCTGTGGCATTTATTTACTTGCCTAAATAAATGATCAACCACATACTATTGTTACTTCATAATCACAGCAATAATCTATATCTTATCAATAAAACTTGGTATCAATGTCAAAAATGCACAGAATTATAAGAAATTAGTTCAGAATAATTTCTTCCAGCATCCAAACAGCGGATTCTCTTGTTTTTTATTTTAATTGCTCCTCTAGATACTTAATTATAAAAAGTAACCCTATCATTTATAAAGCACCATAAAGTACTCGGGCGTTTTGTTGTTGTTTTTGGTTTGTTTATGCAAAAACTTTGGCATATACACATAGGTAATTATTTTGTTCATTAGACTATGCAAATAAAATACAGTTGTGAATAATTAAAAGTGAAGGGATGAAGGCAGATTGTGCCCCAGACACAAAGTAGATTTCACTGTAAAGACTCTGTCCTGGTTTCTTCTTTTTAAAATGCAAATATTTTGAGGAAACGAACTCTTAAATAGTTCTTATCATATGCTATGATTTGAATATGTCCCTAAATTTTCATGGGTTAGAAATTAAACCTTAATTTCATCTGTTGATGATATTCAAGGATGGGGTGGGGAGGTAACTGGCATTCCATGAGGTCATGAAGGTAGTGCCCGACCCCACCAGGGTGGCACTGTGGCCTATAACATGGATGGCGAACCTTTTAGAGCTTTCAGTGATAACACGCAGCTGGCTGCGGCCCACGTGCCCACAGGTTCACCACAGCTGCCCTGTGAGAAGAGGAAGCGGACCTGAGCTCAGGGCTCACACAGCCCAACCTTGGGCAGCCCTGCGCTCACCCACAGGGCCCTGGCAAGGGTCAAACAGGTGCCGATGCCATGGGCTTGGGCTTCCCGGCCTCCAGCCAAATTCATTTCTATTGCTTACAGATTTCTTTCTATCTGTTGCAAGTATTTTGTTACAGGAACAGAAAGTGGTACTTTTTAAAAGGATCTGAGGAGTTGTGACACAGCCCTTGTGGGAAGGCAAACAGTGCACAGTGATGAAGACCCAGCCCACAACCAAGCCCTTGGCACCATCCACCCGTGCTCTTCCCGGGAAGGACACAGCACACACTCTGCTCTTAGGATCTATTTTCACTCAGTGCTTCAAACCTGCAACTTGCTAGGGACAGAGCTCTGGCCTGGCACAGCACCAGCCTGGCAAGCCTAAGGTCTTGAGCTTGATTCCCCATACAAAAAACAAAACAAAGCAAAGCAGAACAAGACAGTTTACTCAACAGATGTAAAAAATAAAAAGTATTTTGCATGCTTTTAGAAAACTCTAGGAAGCTTAATTTTTCACTTAACCCAAACCATGTATTACAAAACACATCAAAAGATTCAAACAAAGAATTAACTTCTAAACCCAGACTCTTAAGTATTAGTTTTTCAGCATCTACCTCCAGAGGAATAGCAGCTAGATGGACTCAAACGTATATATGTAAGTAGAAAATGGACTACAGATAGATGAACAGACAGCTATGCACTTGCAAAAATTCTAAATATTTTTAGATTTGAATAAATTCTCCCTTAAAACCTTGATGATCTTCTGCTGGGTGACCCCATCACCGATCATGACTCTGTCATTCAGCTGGGCTGGAGGATGATTCGGTGGATCTGCCTGCTTCTTCTTTGAACAAAATCCCAGAACGAACCATCATCTCTCACCTTCCCTCCCATACTACCATCTCTCAAATTTGGAATGAGGGACACCAGAAACTAGGGACGTCTGGGCCGGGCATTTGAACTACAGTGACTGTTAACTCTTAGGAGTCACTGGGTAGCTCTTTGGAGGTTTGCACCAAGACCTTGAGTATCTGCAGAAAGAGGTCAGTGAAACTGACTAATGGAGAAACCATGTAAAAACACGGCTGTCAATTTAAGAGAACCTGTGAGAGTGACTCTCCTGCTTCTTGTGGCTTCCCGGCTATTCTCTAGGCTTGCTCCCCTGCCTGTCTTGTGCTCTATGCTACACCTCTGTTTCTCTGTTTTCATCTGTACTCCAAATTATCATAGATTGGTTTCTGTTTGCATTCATCCAAAAGTTTCTGGTGGGAGCAAGGAGGAAGATGGGAATACCTTGGTCGACATGTGGATATTGGCTCCCTTGTCCAGCAGCAAGGTGACCATGTCCGTGTGGCCCTCCTGCGAGGCCAGGTGGAGTGGTGTTACGCCTTGCTTTGTCACAATGTTGGTCTCGGCTCCATAGCTGAGGAGCGTGGAAGCGATCTGCATCTGGTTCTTCTTGGCAGCAATGTGTAAAGGAGTGTAACCATTCTAAAACAAAGCAGAGACTCGTGTATAAGCAAAAAGAAGTTTAACAAGTTCCTAAATGTTTCTCTACAGGAAATAACACTGTGCAATTAAGAAAAGTAGAAGCGAGTTGACAACTGATCCGTACTCTTACCCATCCCGAGCCTGCATCTGACCACACCTAATCCTTCCAGCCTGACCTCCTGCTCTACTATAAGGACTCTCAGGCACAAAATCTCCGTGTACTATTGGATTTTTCCTAAGATAACAGGCAGGTTCCCTGTTTACATAACTAACTTTACGTACTGGAGGCAGGTTTCATCTCTCTCTCTTTAGTTTTCTCTTTTGCAAGCTACACTCCCATTCCTTGCACTATTCCCTTTAGAAGCAGTATCTCAGACCCTTTTCTACCAGGGGTGACCTGGTCTGACTGGACTAGAGTTTGTCAATATTGCTCTTGAATTACCCAGAACTGAATCCTAAACTTCAGAAGTGGTTTTAGACACACACAGAGTAAAATGCTATTACTTCTACAATCTCTTTGAATCAGACTGTACTTTTCCTTCAGTGAGCAAATGTTACTGCCAGGCAGTGGATCAGGTGAACAAAAACAAAAGTGAGCTTAATCCAGCCTTTAAAGGGCTGGATACATGAAAAAGATATTACAGGACAAAACAGCTTTATATGAACCCTGCAGTCAGTTTAAATCTGGACTCTCCCCTCAGCAAAAGTGGAAAAGCGTGGCTTCTAGCTTTACGTGGGAGTCTGTCCAGTGGACCAAAATATCTCATCCTTGGCAAACTGTAAATCTCATATTGTGAAAAACAACCAAACAGGGCTGAGGATTTAACTCAGCAGCTACAGCGCTTGCCTAGTAAGCATGAGGTCATGAGCTCAATCCCTGGTATCCAAAAAAAATGAACACACACACACATTGGGACAAGTATCAGGCTTGAATACACATTGTCTTCTTCTCGTTTATCAAACCTGGTAGAATACTGCATGAAAAAAACTGTATGAAAGAAATTAAAAATGGTGGGTTTACCATTGACATGACACATAGAAAGCAGAGGCGAGAGAATGATCGAGGGTGAGTGTGAGTGTGAGCCTGTGTGCGTGTGAGTGTGAGCCTGTGTGTGTGTGTGACTGAGATAAGAGGTATTTTGAGGACATATTTCCCTAAGTCTAACTAAAAAGCATGCCAGAATTAAAAAAAAAAAAAAAAAACAATTTTAAGAATTTAAATGTGTTTCTATGCTATCATCAAACTGTGATCTTCAAACAGCCTTCCCTCCGGTGCCCACCCTACTTCCGTTTCTCTCAGCCAAAATGACCAGCTCTCATCTTTCCCGGCTAACATCTCCCTTTAAGCTGATGAGGCGCACCCAGCAGCTTCCCAGGAAGCCTGTTCAGAGGCTAACGCAGGTCCCAGGCGCCCCAGCTGTAATTCCACACTCAGACTCCTGGGCTCTTAAATAGGGCACAGATTTTGTGGATTTTCTAATTTTGGGCCTCTTTAGTTCCAATGCGGTTCTTTAGCCCCAAGTTCCCCATTCTCCAATGCAGGATGTACCAAGGCAGATAGAGGGCCAGGCATTTGTGAAGGAGGTTTCTGTGGAGAATGATGTCGATGTTTTACCAATCCAAGAGACCATCGAAGAGGGGTTGATTTTGGCAGCGGAAGAGGTTTGGGCGGGGTAATCAACCTGCAAGATCCGAAGAGCCCTGTACTCCAAACCATAAACAGTTTTGGAACTAAATAAAGTCCCCATACACACCCAAGCAAGACCAAGAAAAGGCTCTAGACTTCGGCAGAAAGAAGAAAAGAGTCAAAGGACTGCTTGTTAGGAGATAAGGAAATTGTAACGACAGGAAAGGGTTATATGTGGAGGTATACATGTATCTATGTGGGCAAAGTTTGACACATTTATAATGTTTTGTTATATGGAACATGTTTCTATATTAAAATAAGTGTTTTTCAGAATTTGCTTTTACATAGTACCTCACTTGATTACTGTGATAATATGTATAATTTATATAAGTGAGATTATATGTTTCTGTAATAGAAGTAGGATAAATCTACTGGTTAAGAGTGTTGGCTCTCACGTCACTTTGCTGGAGATTGAATTCTAGCTCTAATAATGGGTATACCTGTAACTTTGAGCAAGCTGCCTCATTTAAATCTCACTTCCTTATCTGAAAAACAGAGACCATCATAATACAAATATCACAGAATTATTATAAGATTCGATGGGCACCTACATGGAAAAGGCTAGGTACCAGGTGTGACACATAAATGCTAGTTGTGTTATTTCACCTTATGCAGCATAAATAGTTTTCCATGGCAAAAAAAATTAAGTATATTATCAAAATATGTTTACAAAATGAAGAGACAAGATGTAATGATGACATTATGCATTAGATGAATTTGGGTACTTTTCCAAACAAAGGGGCAAATCCAAATGACAGGAAATGTCTGGCCCATAAACATGAGACTTTAGCTGGAGCCAGTTCAGAGTTGGTGCTCGGTAAATCCCAAAATCGCGTGCTAGTGCAGAGAGGTAAAAGGATCCCTGCTATAACAAATGCAGGGACACAGGTTAAAAGACAAAGAAACAGAGTCTTTCACTTAGAGCTAGATGGAGTGGGCGTGGCAAGGTGCGTCGCGTCCTCGTCCCTGACGCATGGGAAGGAAGACCCCGCAGCACCACTGTCCCAGTCCTTTCTCCACACACCAAGTGGGCATCTAGGGGCTACTGGCCTCGCGTTCCTCTCCAGGACACAGGGGCACCTCCCCGCAATGTCTGCCAGCTCTAGAATTGTAAGTGGTGTGCAAGATGTTAACACCAAAACCACTACGGCAAAGGGCCGCCGGGCCCAGCTACCCTACCGCGTGCTGGAGGCCCCATCCCGCGGCCAGCTGACCGCGCTACACTGCGCCTGCGCCTGCGCACCCTCCTAGGCCTCACCTTGGCGATGGCGTGCGGGGACGCGCCCTTCTCCAGTAACAGCAGCGCCACCTTCTGGTTGTCATAGTGAGCAGCAACGTGGAGCGGGGTAAGGCCGTTCTGTAAAGGGTGTGTTTCAGTTTCAGCGTTAATAAATTAGCTTTAGCTGCTCTGAAGCTACCAGGATGCAAGGAAACTGTGCCGATTTAGTTTGTGTTAATTAATTAATGTAGTCAATAGAAAAGAAAGAGTCAAAACAAATGCACAATAGTTTTCATGATAGGAACGTAACTAAAATCAAAAATGATTGAGTTTACAATAGGCAAAGTGCATCTCGATGGTCACAACAAAGAAAGGCATAGGGTGCTAGTGTACATGGACATCACAGAGATTCTTTATGCAAAGAAGCTGTGGTCCCTGCCATGACAAGAACATACATTTGGGGCGCAGCTCAACATTCTTTCTGAATGCACTCATATGTGGAAAACCATAAAGTTATTGCCACCATGTCTATTTGGCACCATTTCATCGATTTCACTCATATGAGAAAAATATTCCTACAGATCTCTAGAACTAACTATTCCACTAGCAACATAACTAAAACGAAAACATGACACTGAAAACTTTTACCTTCCCAGCAGAGTCTGCAGCAGCACGGCGTTGCAAGAGAAGTTTTGCCACATCCAGGCTTCCATACTTGGCTGCTACATGAAGAGGGGTAAAACCCTTCTGAAAAAGCAAATAAAGGAAATATTTAGTATTTTGCTAACTCCTAACAAATTCTTTGTTGATTTTCTATTTTGGAAATGTACTGGTAACGTGAAATGTTTTAGCCATAAACAAAACAAGGATAAACAATGAAACTTAACATTCAAAAGTTTGGCTTGATAGACTGGACAATAGAAATTTTATTTTAAGATCTTAGAGACTGAAATTTGGAATTTACAATAACTACTAGTGTCAGAAGACTGGCTCTGATTTGAGTAAGATTTTTAAAAAGTCTGCCTTTTTTTCCTCATCTCAAAAATTAATAAGATTGAGACAACAGCTGCTTTTTATTTCTTATGCTTTTTATAACACCTTAGTTCCCAATTTATTTAAATTTTATGATATTTTGGGAGTCACAGTAAAAAAAAGAGTGACCCAGTTTACATATTTTTTTTGCAGATACAGCAAGATAAATGGTCTACAAAACAAAAATATTCACAATTTTAAAAGCTCTTTGCATCCTGACTTCTGATCCCTTTCTTGAAGAGCAACACTGTTTTAAAAACCAACTCCTCTTGTGAAATACAGTATACTTCTGGCATGGTGTTGAGCTGATTAACAACAGACTTTTAAACATGCTAAAGCTCTAAAGCTCTTTTACAGCTCAGCTGTCCTCTGCATGCTCAGAGACCATGCAGTCAGCAGTGTGCTGTGAAATCCTGGGTGAGATCCTGGTGTAGTCAGGCTCCCACACTAGGATCTAAAGGGTCCTCACAGCCAGACAGTTTAGCCACATGCTCTTCTGGCACTAGGGTGGGACAGCAAGGACTGTGGGCTGAGCAGGATCTATAAAACAGCAAATGTGCCTGTGTTGAGTTCTCCAAGGCGCAGCTTCTCCTTGCCCCCTTCTCAACCACTGAACATCCCCAAGAACCAATGGAGCCCTTCCATCGTGTTGTCAGACCACCAGATCAATTATTGTGAATTAAGATGACACTTTTCTGCTTTTTTCTTTTAAACATTCTGTACTAATTAATTTTTGGAAGAGAGTGAATCTCTTGGCATTTGCCTCATGTGGGCCAAACACAGGAAGGATTTCTTCCTCTGGCTTGGGTCCACATAATCCTCAGCTGCTGTTAAAACTCTGCTCCCCACCCTCAGTGCACAGCATGATTGGATGACGCTAACTTGAGTTGGAGCAGGGTTCACACGGGAGGAAGGAGAGATCATCTCCTGATGAACTGATCGACCTCTTTATCAGTCTGGAATCTCTTATCAGGCAAAGCTACACACTGGAGAATCCCAGAGGCAGGGTTATAAAGAGTGTTTTACATCACACGGCTTTTCCCCATGTTAATCACCTAAGGATGTCATCTCCCTCTGATATTTATAAATAGCTTTTAGTTAAGTGATTCACCTATCGTTCAGCCCTGGTTGGTTATACTGTTAAAACTGTTTCATAGTGTCTTCTATTTCACTGCCCTAATTTACTATATTTTTAAACCAAAAGCTATTTGAAAGACAGCAACTAACTACTCCCTATGTCCATATCTTTATATCTTAACTTTGTCTGTTTACACTTTCATCTGTTAGGTTCTTACTACTATTGTTATATCTTCATTGCTTAGTTATTGGATTTGTTTTTTCTTTTAAAGAATTATAGAAAATTCTTTCAACTTTTCAGATGTCAGAATTTGAATAATTATCAACTTCTTATATCAATAGGAAGATGTTTTTCAGCCATGGGCAACCAATTGAGCCCTAAGAGCAGTGAGAGGGTGGCTTCTGCTTGCAGATTTATACTTGTGAACTTTCCCCGGTTTGGATGCAATTCTTATACCCATGTATTATGGACAAATTTAAAGGGTCTTTTTAATTAATTAATCTGGATCACCATTGATTTTGTGGAATTATTTTGCTCAGTGACAGAGTTCCGCATTCCAGAATTTCATTCGCCTCCTTTTCCTGTTCGTCTGCCTAGTTCTATTTGTTTTGCTCCAGTGAGCTGAGTGTGGTCACATTTTTATCCTAAGTCACTTCCAAATACTCAGTTTTGAATAGAATTTGTCAAGAGGATGAAGCATTGACCTGGCCTGCAACAAAACTGAACGTAAGTAAAATTCAGGTTGCAATATACTCCTTGTTCCCCATCAGTAACAACTCTGAGTCCAGCTTGATGTAGGCAAGCACACTTGGAAAGACTGGAGGTCAGAAAGGGAGCAGGATACCGAGTCGGAGATGGCTGAAACCAGGACTGGAAAACAGAAGGTTAAGTTAAGCGAGTTCCTGCGTAGTACTACAACCCAACGTGGCTCTGCCAATGTAAGGTGGTATTTTCTTCCTCATTAGTGATACCAGTTCATTGTACTTGAGAATCTTTTTTTTCTCTTGAGAACGAATGCATTATAGATTTTATGGCAGAAATGGGAGAACATGGAGAACTTGCTTATGAGAATCATATTAGTTAAAATCTTAGGTACTGGCACTAAAACAAAACAAAACACCCCACACTGTCATTTACTAGAAGAATGGAATCCAGAATCTTTTTTTAATGATATTACATAAAATTTCAGTCCCCTTCTGATCATTTAGGAAATGATTCTAAAATATTTATAGAGAAAAGTAAACCAAAGTTTGCCCCTCTTCATACTCTGTGTGGCAGAGCAGAGGCCCTGCTGGGGGATCCTCCTGGTCCACACCATCGCGAGGTCACTCTCCTCACCTTGGTAGCTAAGGAGTGTGCTGCTCCGGCTTCCAGGAGCACTGACGCCACATCCACCTGGCCTTCCCGGGCTGAGATGTGCAGTGGCGTGTACCCGTTGGTAGTGGCCGCATCTGGATGAGCCATGTGCTGCAGAAGCAGCTGGACGATTTCTGTCTTACCCAGGCGGGAGGCAATATGCAAAGGTGTCTGTTCCTCCTACAACTCAAGTCAAGTCAAGAGTTAGCGCCAGACAGACCAAACTTCACCAACAGTACAAGCTCCTGTGATTGACCACCATCTTCTCGGCTGCCTTCCTTGGAATCTAAGACTCTCCACTCAAAAGAAAATTACTGTTCTTTCACTATGGCTTAATCTATGGTTTCCTATATAGGTGACTTATTTAAACACAAGATTTCCCTAACATTTTTAAATAGTAGTACTTTCATGAACTTGATCATCATCTTCCTGGAAACCCAAAGCACAGCTCAACTTATTAACACCTCAGCTTTCACTTGTGTTTAAATATAAACTAACTCATGACTTTCAGGAAGAAAGAAATTGAGTCCAGAAACCTAAAACATAAATTATCCCTCAAAAGCCTTCACTGAAATGCAAGCTTTATTCTGGGAACTGTGTCAAGAGAAAAAGACCCAGGAAAGCTGGAAAATTTTGTTCTTAACTCTGCTGGGCCAGCCAAGGATACAAACGCTGATCATATTCTTTGAGGAGAAACCATGGATAAAGGAGAATATCATAAAGTAGTTTTAAAAACTGCTGTTCCAGGAAGTGTCGCAAATGAGCCTGGGACTGGCATCCTAGACTTCAAAGATGAGAAGAAATTCTGGCAAGAAGCAAATGGAGTGAACTGTTTGCCAAGAGTTCTGAGTTTAAAAACAGAATATAGCTGGGTAGAAGGGACAGGAAGGACACATTCAAGGAGGCTCAAGGAATCACTTGATTCTAATACGCTGTCAGGAATAGTGCTTTCAGGGTTAAGAGAACCAGGCCAACCACTGCCTCTGGTAAAAAGTAACCCGAGTATAATCCTAGTGATGAAAGCAGGTGTAAGTTACGATCTGCCAATGGGTATGGCATAATAACAGCGAGGAAGGAAAAGCAGGGCTAAGAATGAATGGGGGGGGAGATAAAATGGATCAGTCTAAATAAATGTACTGCCTTAAAGTTATCAGAAAAGAAAAAGCAGCTACAGAAAGAGAAAAATAGCACTTGATGAAATTCAAGGTAGTGAAAAGTAATAGTAATATAATTATTTTCGTAACAGAATTAGTTTTATAAAAAGTTGCAATTTACAAATTTCCTTCATTTCTGACATATATGTGATCCTCAGTAGATCTGAAAGGAGTCATGAAATGTATGATTATTTTTCAAATAAAGCGATCAAGAGTAATTTACTAAGTTTTCAAGAATTTTCCAAGGCCATTCAGCATCAAAACAGGGCTTGAATTTGAAGACTGGGTTCCAAAGACAGTGTTTCTTTGCCTATATAGTCTACAGAAGTAACGTGGTAAGACAGCTATGAGGCCAGTTAACAGGGCAGATGACTCTCGACAAGGATGGAGGGAATGAACAAGTGTACAAGTGGCTAGCAAAAAGTCATGTGCATCAAAAATCAGGGAATTTGACAGAAGCTGCAGTGAACATCAGACTTCAGTCCTGGAGAACTTGATACAGGTGGATGCAAATACAACAAGCCTCACACTGTGTTTTGCAGTGGATCCTGGGGCAGGCGATGATGGTGCTGTCACAGATAGATGAGAAGAGACAGTCCTCGATCGGTGGGAGCTACTGGAGCTGGTTAAAGATGGACCAGGCATTCTTTGGTTCTCAGACTCCACAGCATTACTTTCCTCCTCTAAGTTAAGAAATAAGCTATCTAACCTCCTTTTTACAACTTTTGATATAGTCTTACCTAAAAGTACAAAAGAACATACAGATTTTGTTAAGAAAATCTTTAATCCATAACCAGAGATATAAGAACTTTTCATATTTGGGCTTTTCTTTCTCTACTGAATTGCAAACACTGAATTTGCTACTCTGAGCTAAAATTAACAGGACACAAGTCACAGTGCAGAAGACTCATGGGGAGAGGGAAAGCCAGGACATGTGCGTGGGTGAGTCTGATTCCCCAGACCCCCTCCAAACATGAGAGGCAAAAATTCCTTCCCCGTTGAAAAGTGTTGCTGACCGGAAGTAGGTGAGCTCTGCTTTACCCTCGCCCCCCAGTCTGCCGTGTCCCTCTACTGCAAGGTGACCAAAGTCAGACGACAGGCTGAGCCCCAAGACCTTTCGCAAACGGACAGAAGTAACAGTGGCTGGCGAAGGCTCAAATTTCTGTGGAACTTCTGCTAGTAGGTACCAGTGTTCAGGGTTCTAAAGAACAAAGCCTTAACAAGTTCAGTTTGAAGGAGCTTAAGTGCAGGGACAGGGTGGCTAGGTTCCTGCTGCGCAGCGCAGGCTCCCTCAACTGTGCACCCGCGGGACCTCGGGAACAAGGGGGACACCGTCGGGGAGGCCCTGGCAGCCCCACCGGTTACACCCACTGGGGACGTGGCCAAGGAGGCCCTTCCTCCGCCCACGGCCTGCTCAGCCAGGAACTTGCGCTATTGCAGCTCTGGCTCTCCAGGCTGTGCGCCTGGGAAAGCAAACCCCACACCCTTGGCTGAGCAGAGCCGTGTGCTTTTAAAATTAGAAATAATATTGTGTCTATCAGGTTGATTTTTACTGTATATTAGAAGTAGGCAAAATGTATGATACAGCCCTTGGTTAGAATAATCATGGTATATTATTTCAAAATTCATTTGAGAAGAACTGAAGCGTACTGAGATCTTGGCCATGAGCTCAATGTAGTAACGGGACATGAATTTCCAACAGTTCCACTTCAAAGGGGAGAATTCTAGGCCATGATACCAGGTTTAAAAAGGAAGTTTTCAGAAGTGCATGGATGTGTGTAGTGCATTGGGGAACCAAGACATGAGACAGAGTGGTATGTGTTCATTTTTCTGCTCATGTCATCTGAAACCCACTTCTTGTGAGAACAACTGTCCCTCCTTGGCAGCAGTGGACCCGGCGGGCCAGTCAGTCATCCCACTTACCTCACAAATGGACCACACCAAGGGCACCGCGCTCAGCCTGGTCCCAGTCCCAGTCAGTCAGCTGTTCAGGGATGGACTACGACTGATTAGAAACCAGCCAACTGCATGGCTGAGAGGCAAAGGGCTCTCTTTACATGTGAAATGGTCTTGAAAAGTGGATCAAAGCTCTTCTGCTGCCTTGTCCAGTGCTGCTTTAGCATGAAAGAGCACCATTTCTGAGCAGAGAGTGCTGAGAAGGATATGGGACTGTGAGAGAAACCTTTCTTATTTTAACTCTCTGACCACAATCAGGTCAGTGCAGTCTTGAATATGGGGACTTAAACACACCGCACTGCCACACTGCATTGCTCTGGGTATCAGATACAGCAGTCTATGCTAGATGTTCTGTAACTATAGCTATAGCTCTGCACAGTGCCAAAGTCAGAGGCTCCAAGGGGACATTCACAGATGAAATGAAAGTCAACAGCTCTGGCTCAGGTGCACCTTAGATGGAACATGGGAAAGAAAAGCCTTGCCCTGGCTGCTCGGTCTCAGCCAGAACAGGGACACGAGTGCCACCTGCAATGCTGCCAGAGACGCAGAGCTGAGCTCCAAGAGCTGGATGCCTGGGGGGTCACACACTGAATCTGGGGGCTCCATTCTGTAAGGTGTCATGTTCTTCCTGTTTGGAACAGGATGCTATACAGAAGGGGTCTCTTTGGTTAGGTGGTAGAACTAAAATATTTATAGGACAATATATAACACTTAATATTTAAATGGGAAAGAATTAAGAGAATTATGTTTGTACATGTAGACTATAAGACTAAATGGAGTTGTCAAAGAGAAGTCAGAAAATAGACTTGAAGGAACACAAACATTGAATAAACACATGAATGATTGACTGTTACAGCATCTTAAAGGAGAGAGTCTAGATAGTGTTTTTAAGGAAAGTTTTGGATGTATCTACAAAGAACAACAGCCAACATGGGTTAAATCAGTGTAGAAAAACTGGCATAAATACATGTAAATGAGTAAATTTTTACTGAAAGAAAAATTTTCAAATTACATTTGAAAATTGGAAAAATATTAAGAATAAAAGAAGAGAAATGGTACTTCTTTTACTATTAAATATAGCTTACAAAAAATTACCAGAAACATTACTGCAATTTCTAGTAAAAATAACACTGTTCATGATGCTCAGAGTGTGTTGGTTGATCATAAAAGTATTTTTTAAATGGCAGAATGCCAAGTAACCTTAAAAGAAAGTAAGAAAAATGCCATGTCAGGGGAAAATGTAGCTAAATAACAAAAGATCTAAATATATATAAAAGTATAATGCATCTATGATGACCACCAAAGAATACAAATGATACTACAAGACACAGTGGGAAGCCAGGTGAGATCTAAAACCACCAAAGTCCTGGCAAGACTGCAGCGTGATGATCCATGGGATTCACTAGGATAAAAGTCCTAGCAAATCACGGAGTGAGAAAACACAAACGCTTTTGAGAAAGGAATTTTGAGGTGTCTATATCCAACTCCAGATTTCCATGATGAAGTCACAGAAACGCAATGACGACTCCAGATAGACTCCAGATAACCCTGATCCTCTAGTGAGGCCGCAATGGAGTGGCAAGCTGAAGACAGTCCCCAAGTGTTGGAGGAGAAGGAACATGTAAATAACCCACGAGGGTCCCAGCAGTTGTAGTACAAATAGAACAGGACAGGAAACAAAAGATACAGGACCTCAAGAGAAATCACTGCTATATTCAGCATGTAGCAAGAGAGAGAGAAGAGAATGAGAAATGAAATTCAGAAAAAATAAGCAAGAAAAAAGAAGTGATTATAAAAAACAGAAGTGATTATAAAAGAAGACAAATGTGATCAAGTAATCTACAATGCCAAAATTCTATTGTAGAATAGTAGCAAGACAAGATATCTGCTATGTAAAACTGACAATAAAAAGAAAAGTTGGCTTCTTACAGAAAAAAGTAAAACTGATAAAGTGAAAACACTCAAACTTTGGAGGTAATTTATTGTTAAGTAACTTGTAAGGAACAACTGTGGAAATGTAGCTAAGAAATGTATTTCAATACGTACAGCATTTTACAATGCAGATAAGTTTACAATAGATATGTGGAAGTGTTTTTGAGGTTGAAAATTATTAAAATCTAAGTCAATGCTATATTCTTAGCTGCTAAAATGCACATATTTTTGATGCTTCTGGAATTGGGGCATCACTGTCATTGTATAACTCACATAGTTTCTTTTTTGTCGGAACAACTGTCATCAAATTGGTGTCTTTGCTTATGCCCCAAACACCCTGAAGAATAATCCTGCTCAGAGTGGGGACTACGCACCATACAGTACAGAAGACAGCACACACCACCTACCCTGGCTCTGGCATCAACGAGGGCGCCGTTTCTCAAGAGGCACCGGACCACTTCGACCTGGCCGGCCCGGGCTGCCATGTGCAGGGCCGTCTCCCCACGCTGCGGGAAAGAGATCGCCCAGTCATCAACAAACCCAGTGCTCTGGATGGTACAGAATCAAGGTGTCCTTTTGTGAAATTCAGTAATATAGCCAAGGATTTAACAAATCTACAGGAAGGCATAATTATTTAGTTTGGGGAAAAAATAGTTTTTGTATCTTCTGTATCTTTATAAAAATAAAAGTAATTTTTAAAATTTGTCTCAGTCCATAACAAACCTAGTATACTTAACCAGGCATCAAGATACCCTCTGGTTCAACTTCTCTAGCAAAACTGACACCGGCTTTGAGGATAACGCTAGCTTTTATCCTACAAACTCTTACCTATCATTGATCCCATTCAATGAGAAATTTCAGTTGCTGAAGATCAAGTCAACACATTGCAAAAAATCATTATCACCTAAACCATACATCAATGATTTTTTTTTCCAAAACTTATATTTCAAAAATAAAATACTCTTTTGTATATGACTTGCCTTTGTGTTGTAGAACTAGATAATATATGTTCACATAAGAAGTCTGATTTGCCTAGGAAGTACCCTATGAACGCCAGTGAGCGTCTGTGATTACAGCTAGGGATCTGGGAGCATTACCGAGACAGTGAGGGAGGTGTTAGCAGCGGCAGCTGTTGAGGGCAGCAGCCCTGAGCCACACCCGAGTCCTTCAGCATCTCACATGGTACATACTCATCAGGAGCAGGCAGAATGAGGCTCCGACATACGGACCCTGCTCTCAGGAAGCTGGTTATGATGGCCACAGGCAGGATTCCATTTATTCAATAATTTTACTGTTAAACCAACACGTGGCAATAGAAGTCATTACAGATTGACTTGATGCAACTAATCTAGAACCTAAGCCTTATGTAGGCCACTGCAAATCAATAAATGTCATTTTAAACTTGGTTGTAGGCACTGACTGTCCTGGACAAACCCCTGTGAGAAGTGAGTAGCCATGCAGAGACTCGGCCTGGGATGAGGGACATCCTGCCAAGTGATCAGACCATGGAAGCATTAAATGCAGTATTGGGCCGTGTTTCCTCTTTCTTGTTGATGACTCCTCCTCTAGCACCTTTATTGGCAATGTGTGATCTTTGTGGAGTAAAAGTATCTGGACTACACTGTTGTATAAAATGATACAGCATTGGAGTAGGCACATTGTCTTCAGATTTTAGATATATGCCGAGATTTTTCTTTGGATCATGGCTACTAACTTGTTTTCTATGTCACTTAAAACTTATCTCTAGTGGATAAGCCTAACATTGTTGAACTATTTTAAGGAAAAATAATTCAAACATTCCTTTCTGGGTCTGATGAAATGTAACAGTCTTACTAATTCTGGTAGAAATAAAGGTAGGAATAAATTCGCCTATGAGAACAGGTCCCAGGAGTTCCCACTGAATGGTCAATTCACTCATTCAGTAGCCCCATTTTATCAAATAGGGAATTTTCAAAATCTAAAGTTTCAAAAATCTTTACATTAAAGTAAGTTATTTATGATTTTTACACATTTGAAATTAATGAATTATATATAAATATCTAAAATATTAAACTTTATATTCAAAGAAAAGTTGCATATGCGTGCATATAGTCTCTCCACTACTAAAATGCTCTGAGTTAATTCTTATTTAATGACTATGGGATAATGACATTTATTGTAAATAAATGTCTTTTTCCATATTTATATTACCATTGTTTATACCTGAGTGTCATAAGACAATGAAAGGCAGAGAACATTATCTTTCTGACTATTTCCATTTCTTGACAGCCTTGTTTTCTTCATCTTAGGCTAATTAAATGTTGGGGGAGGTTTTTTAACATAATGTAGTGTGAGCTTGATCGGGAATCCACGGACTGTGAGCGCACTAACAGGAAAATGCACAGCATTTCCATCCCATGCTGGCCTTCCCACAGTACTGCAGGCACTTGCTTCCCTACACCAGTGCTTCTCAGTGAATCCTCTGGACTGGGTGGACTGTAAGCTGTAGTCAGCTCTCTGAATTTCTGTGTACTTTTTGAAAAGGGAACATGATTGAGTGACTGGTCCACTTCACGTGTGGAGTAACTTTTCAGACAAAAGCAAGACTGGCCAGAGAACAGGTATGCTCATGTCCAAAGCAGGGACTCAGTGTCATGCTCCGGCTTTCCAGGGTGAAAACTGACTCTGCAGACAGCTGCACAGACTTCCACATGGCCGCATCAAGTTGGAAAGCATCAAAGCACAACAGACAGCATCGCATTCAAAAATGCAACATGAGTTCAGGCAACACACAAAGGCTCCAAGGGTAGGGTGACATGGGGTCAGGAAATGATCAACTCTGCCACAGCAAGCAGTCAGGAGGGTTCACACAGCTTCCTGATCACCTCCCAAGATGTGGGTCCAGAGGCTACATCCTCCTGTTTTAAGAATGCACACGCTCACAAGGCTGCCCCTCCCAGAAAAAGCTCAATTCCCTTCCATGTACAACTAGCAGATTAGCAAGTAATTATTACCTTAGGGCTAATAAGCTACAGCCAGGAACATGTAAACACAGACTTTAAGTTCTTTAATAAGCTGATGTCCCACTGCTGAACAAGAGTATTAAATAATATTTAGAATCAAATAAATTTAGTTCTATAATGAATTTTGGGTTATTAGAATTTCTGGGTTATCAGAAATTCAGCAGTGTATAAAATGCAGAGAAATGAGAGCATGAGGGGAAATACAAATAAAAAGTGAACTAGTACAATTTAAATAGAATGAGATACCAGAAATTAGCAACAATGTTTAATCCACTGCCTCTGTAACTGGGATTCAATTCATAATATGCACTAACATTTATTTAGAGTTATTTCTGTTTCCTGTTTTTAAACATATCAGTTTCGCAGTGGACCCTGATCTAATTCCTGCCCGCATGTGTATAAGGAAGTGCTCTTGACCAGGAGAAAACTGGCACTAGCCGGTTTGCCGCGATACAATGACCGAATAAAATGAAGGCAGTATGAATGAGAAGTTAAAAAAAAATCCCAATATATATTAAATAGAACTCTGGGATATCCAGCATGTAGTGGCAGCAGGAAAATGTCCAGAATCCAGTGTTCACTGTGGGATGCATGGCATGACTATTTCAGCCAACACACCTCCACAGCAGCCAACAAAACCAAACCAAAACTAAAAATCAAAGTGAGAGTAGATGTGGAAAATGTATGTAAAAGAGAGGAAGAACTTACAGCAAGTAAAAATCCTAATACTGACCTATCTCTGGTTCATCACTATTTTTTCTTTCCTTTGAACTTCTGAGGCAGGGTCTCAACTCACCTTTGTGGTCCTGGGTATTGAACTCAAGACCATTACACTGAACTCTATCCCCCATTTTTATATTTTATTTTGAACCAAGGTCTTCTTAAATCACTAAGTGGCCCAGGCTGGGCTAGAATTTGTGACCCTCCACCCTCAGTATCCCAGAGTGCAAGGATTACAGGCATGCGCCACCACACCTGGTTCAAGTTGCTTTAAACTTGCTATGTAGCCTGGGCTGCCCTCAAACTCACGATCCTCCTGCCTCAGCCTCCCACTGCTGGAATTATGGGTGTGCTCCACTAGACCCTGCTTCCGTTTTATCTTTGGTAAGATAGGTCATGGAACTGATTCGATATTTTAATGAAATTTACCTGGAGCCCTGAAGAGGTTCTTTTACAGTCATCCATGCATGTTCAGAGGAATCTTTAAAAATGTATTCATTTCAGTAAGTGCATTAGAGATGCATGTGTAAACCATCTATACCAGGAGGATTAAGCTGTGTCACTGTGCAGCTCCCATTCTTATCCTAACACATTTCTTGTCCTACTGAGCTCTTCTGGGTAACGTTCTAGCCAGTACTTCATAGTATATTATCATGAGGGTCCTTCTCAAAGCCGGGAAGCTGGCTTTGGTGACACACACACACACACACACACACACACACACCGACACACTGCACACCCACTCTCAGCTCCACAGCACTCTCTCCCTGCGGTTATTCTGACCCCAGCCATACTCACAATGTTAGTGACATCTGGAGAGGCTCCGTTCTGCAGCAGAAGGAGGACAATGTTCAAATGGCCCATGAAGGCAGCCACATGTATTGGTGTGAGGCCAGACTGCGAAACAAAGCGACAGCAGTTTTACTCCTCTGCACCCGCGAAGCTTTGGGGCTTCTTGAGATAAACAGAACTTGCGTGAAGAGGACAGAAGGTAGGTGAGAGGAAGGAAGGAAGGAGTAAGAGAGGGAACGCTTTGTGATGAGCTGAACAGTGTTCTACCTCTGTGATAGCTTGGATTGAGGCCCCATATTTCACCAGCAGTTCCATGACTTTGATGCGGTTTTTCTTGCAGGCAATGTGCAGTGGAGTAAAACCATTCTGTGCAAAAGACAATCGAGTTAGTTGAAAACATGCAGAAACGATTCTCACACAACTCCATGCTGGCACATTGCAGGCAATCACGTTACATTGTCACATTGTGTCACCACTTCTTCAAACTCTACTGCTGGTGCTGTTGGGACTTGGAAGGAAATGTAACTGATGTGTTCTAGGGGAACTGACGTTTGCTTCTGTGTGTAATTCTGTGTGCTTAGAGAGGAAGAGAATACCAGGATGACTCTTTAGAGAATAAAAGCAGAGAAACAACTGGATTCCAGAAGCTCTGAGACACTGGAAGGTCTACTGATTGGTCAGATGATCCAAAGATGCACTGACAAGATGCTTGTGGCTGTAAGATGAAGGCCACATCCAGAGCAAGGAAGTGGTCAGCTACCTCCAAAATCTAAGAATGTGGCCACCCCATACCAAAGATTTCAGCTTTGCTACCGTTTTCTTTAGGCAAAAGTGTTTCGAATTAGGAGAAATCATCATTTATAATGATTATGTTTATATCACAAAAGTGTAATTTTATATGCAAAATTTTTATAACATATTTTTATAAAGAAGTAAAATAATTTTCTCAAGTATTTTTGAGAAATACATGGAGAATTTCTGGGATAACACCAAAGGATGGTGGAGAAGTCTATAAGGTACTTTATAACTTTTTGACTGAGACTAACGTCCAGGAATTGTGGAAATTACATCAACGTTGAGCTCCATGCCTGACTGTTATGTATTATATTTATTACATTTTTGTTTAAATAATGATCCTTTACTGAGCTGTATCTGTTCTGCCAGTTAACAATTTTGCAAGTCTCAAAGGGGACTGATAATTAGGAAATATTTTTATATGTTAACAGTTCTAAGAAAAGCATAGTCTTGCATAAACTAATGACTATTTCTCCGAGTGAAATGATATCACAGTTTGCTCCACTTACAGTATTTATAAGCCATATAATAAGACAGAGATAAATAGGCACATGGGCAAACAGCATTTAAAATATCTGTAATTATTAAATTGTGCTTTTTAAAGCTTATTATTAACCACTATCCAATTAAGATTAATATATTCAACTCCCCATGAAAAAGTGAATATCATCACATATTTGTCTATAACCCTGAAAGTATACTCACATCTAAGATAATTATTTAAATGAATTATAGTGGAAAATTTCACATAAAAATATTTGATGATTTTAGTGATATTTTTGCACATACTGATTGAAGAAGAATTTTAACTGACATAAAGCATATAAACATACAAGAAAGGAGACTGGCTTTTAGTCTGAGAATTAGGAAACATGTGGCGTAAGTTAGTATTAAGCCCATACTTCTAATGATTACTGTTAGAATATAAGTGAAATAAGAAAGATTGATTTGCTATTGGACCTCAGGAGACTCAAAAGCTGCTCTGGGACTGAGCCTGGCAGTTTTCTTTTGAGCAATTCCTGCAATAATTTCTAGAAAATGCTTCCCAAAACAATAATATAGCAGGGGTCACTTTTCTATTAGCCATGACTGGGAACTCAGGTCAGTTAGGAGAGTCTCCAAGTGAACTCTTCACAAGTTTCTACTTCACACTAACCTCCCTACTCAAATGGAGTCATCATCTTAAAGTCTCCTTTTTCCTCAAAGATAATACAACCTTCTTATATTTACATTCTCACTGTATCTTGTATCTACAGGCATACTGAAGTGATTTTATAGCTTCCTGTTTTTCAGGTTTTACTTTCTATATAAATTGCTCATCTGTCCACAGTTTTATATCGGCCTGTCCACAGCTCTCTGATTTGATGCTCCCCTGCATGCCCTGGCTCACCGTCATTTAGTAGGTGATAGTGTTACCTATTCCAAAGCTATATAACAATGGAGGTGTGAGGTAGGCAGGCGCCTGCCCCGGGAAGTGCATGGGAAGCATGGGAGTGACACACAGGGCCCGACGAACCACATGTCTGTCACTGTGACCGCTGCCGTGGGAGCCAGCAGCAGCCAGTCCCTGCGGGTGTGCTCGTGTGGGGCTGCACTCAGTTACACGGGCTGGGCCAGGTTTACCAATGCTCTGGCGTTCGGATTGGCTCTCTTGTCCAGAAGGAGTTTGGTGACGCGGTAGTGGCCGCAGTGTGCAGCGACGTGCAGGGCTGTCAGGTAGTCCAGGGTGACGTCGTCGACAGGCGCCTTGTGCTGCAGCAGGTGTTTCACACACTCCACGTGGTCCCCCTGAGCGGCCATGTGGAGCGGGGACAGCCCATTCTGCAAAAACACAACATCGCTTTTTATCATTCCTTCCACAGCAAAGTCACAGCAAAGCCAGTCAGTGCTTCGTCTCTAACACAGTGAGCAGCAGGGAAAAATATGTTTCATCTAATGTCTGGATTCAAAGCAGACTGAGGCAAAAGGAAGCAAAGAGAAAACTTATATTTATAATTATGTATCTCTTAGGTAAACCATTAGTTAATGTTTTTCATAATAATATGCATGGCAAGTCAGGCTGATCTCATGATTATTAGGGCAATATTAGATAGAAAGACATAAGTGATAGCTCAATTGTCTCCGATTCCACACACAGCAGTCTACAGTCACTTAGTCTCTCTACTGACATTTCTTTGCTTAGGAAAAGAGGAAAGTTGAGTGGAGGAGGAGCAAATAGGTAGCTCAAAGTGGAGAGCACTATTGGTCACCTCTGATCAATGAACTAATGCTATGGACTTAGAGAGAGGGACCGAAGAGCTGGAAGAGAGTGAAGCTACAGTGCACCACTGGTCAGCAACCTGGCCTGTGCCCGTGAGGGTGACCTACACTGGTCATCACCGATGCTGCCCCAGTCAGCCTCGGCCTTCATTCTAGAAGGCACTCAACAGCAGAAATGCTGCTGAGTGTCTTCTAGAATGAAATATATGTAAGAAAGAAATATATGTAAAATTAGGAAGTCAACTGAGTTAGAAAAATATCTGTTCAAGAGATTGAATTATTGATTTTTTCTTAATAACCAGTCCAAGTATAGTCTCTATAAAAATGATTACTAACAAACAGTTTGGTAATTATTACATTCAAAGAAATAGAAATTACACTGAATAAAATGCCAGAAAAAAGCCCTCAGCTCAACATCCTCAAAAGGGAAGGTGTGTTCAATGGTAAGAAACAACTAAAAATAAATACATTGAAACACTTTATTAGTGCATGTTCACAGCACAGAAAGCTTCCCTCCCGTGTGCACTGTGGTGTGTGGGCAGCACACACCTTCACTTCTCACCCCCTTTCCTATCGCCCTTTCTCTCCCCCGCCTCTATCCCTGCTCCCCTTCACCGCTGAGAAAGATCCATCTCCCCACTTCCTATTATCTGTCTTTTATTTTGCTCTTTGGGGTTCGTGTATTTTGGGGTTCGTGTGTAAGAGAAATCATGTAACATTTAGTCTGTGTGTCTGATTTATCTCACTTAACATTATGGTCAAAGGGACATCCTTTTCCCACAGATGACTCAAATTTCTCTTTCTGTGGCAGTTTGTGGGTAAGCTTCAATGACTTAAGTAATACTTTTAGTTATTTCTGAAATAATTTTCATTCACAATTATTGCATTCATGCTTAGAAATCCATAAAATAAACCTTGAAGAGAGAAGCAGGCTGTACCTATGCACTGGGCGGGGTGGGGTGGGGTGTAACTTTATGGCGGGACAGGAACAGGTCTTGAGACCATAATGCTAAGTGAAATAGATCAGACACAGCGAGCTAAGTAGCATGTGGTTTCTCTTACCTAAAAAGAACAAAAGAAAATTAGACAGAGATGGTAGGAGACAAGGAAGCAAACTTTTAAAGGTGGGGAAGGGATCTAAAATTATTAAGATATGTTTTATAATGCACCAGTTCCCTAAAATGAATGGAAACAGTGTACACTCCACTGATTGTGCTTTCACACAGAACAAGTTCAGGGCTTGACGACATCTGGACTGAGAATTACAACACATATTCTCATAGGAAGTCACCAACGCGGAGGAGAAGGTGAAAGCCCTTGTCTCCAGGGTCGTGCTGAGAAGGTGGGCACCCACACGAAGGAAGGTCATGCAGGGGGGGGGGGGACAGGAGGAGCACCATGCAGGGCTGTGATACGCGCAGCAACAGAGACACCACAGGCTGGACGATGAGGAGCAGGGCGCAGCAGAGGAAGTGGGACTCAGAATCAGAGCCGGGCTCAGAATGTTCTCAGGGAGAGAGGAGGTGGTGGCCAAGAGGCCAAGACAGCCAGATTACCCTGCTGCTGTGTTACATCACACTCGGCTGGGGGGCCAAGGAGGCAGGCCGCAGAGACTGCAGTAGGGGCTGGGAGCTTGCTGGGAAGCTGCTGATTTCCTGACGCATTTTGGAGGAAGAGGCAGCAGGGTTTGGTGACAGGATATGGAGGGTGACAATGGGATATGAAGTATCTGCTCTGGGAAACCAGGCAACTGATGTAAGAAAGACTACGGGCAAATTAGGTTTTGGAAAGGGGCTGCCAGACACTTAATTTTGGACTTAGGGGATTTAAGGCACCCATTAGATCTCCAAACTGTAGGAATGAGTTGACACCAACCCACAGAAAGCTGGAAATACGCCCTGTGTGCCACCACCAGGATGTGTGTGTATTTAAAAATGAAATTGCACAAGGGTTTCATAGAGTATAAAGGGCAGGGAGAGACAAAGACACAGACTGAGCTTGAAAGTTCTCTCATTCAGAGATCTTGAGGATTAGGAGGAACTCATGAAGCAGATGGAAAAGTGGGAGCAGAAATACAGAAGGAACACCAGAAGAATGCAGTACCTCGAAATCCTATAAGGAGAGTGCTGGGGGGGGGGGGACAAGAATCTGCACCAGATGAAGGAGCAGGACAGCTTAGCCCCTGGGCACAGGAAAGCGGGCATCTGCGCCAGATGACAGAGCAGGACAGCCTAGCTCCTGGGCACAGGAAAGCGGGCATCTGTGCAGACTCCTTTCTGGCTGCTTTGGTTTTCCCAGTATGTGGAAAGTGAAGAAAAGAAAGAAGGCTACAAAGTTTAAAGGTAAAGTTCAGGCAGCCGAGGAGCAAGAGCAAACAGACTTAGAAATCGCAAACTGACTGGCAGGTGGCCTTGCGCAGCTGACTTGAAGTTAGTGATCATGAATTTAAAGTGAGCAGTGTCTGTCACCGTAGCCGCATTCAGGCACACGCATGTAAACCGGGTTCGCCAAAGTGAAACGTAGCGGGTGAGTATGAATACGCGAAAACGGCAGTGAGGGTGAAGAGTTTATGCTAGGCAGAGGTGAGGGCACGAGGTGAGTGACAGACACGATCCTGTGACTCAAAGTCCCAGCACACAGAAGAATTTCCGGGACTGGGGCTCTGGAGGGGGTGAGCTGAAATACAGAAACAGAAGTCACAGAGGGTTCGAGGCCAGCAGGCACAGCCAGCTGTTCACGCCTCCAGATCAGCCAGGTCACTGGGATGTCCCGGGGCAGTGGTGAAGACTCAGTTTGCCGAGAGCTGAACTTCCAAGGAATGAGTGAGAGTTGCTCCCAGGAGAAAATAACAGGTGATTCAGGAGTTTTTATGGAAGAAGAGTGCGAACTGTCAGGTATTAAGCGCCGCCTCCACCGCCTGGCTGGCAGACTTATCTCACTCCATCCCGAAAAGTTCACCTTCCGGCCGCAGCTCCACGCCTGCTCACCACCTGCGGTGTGTGATACGTAAGGATCCACGAGTTGTTGCCTATCCTATTAAGTAGCTCTAGGTGGTCAATGCCAACTTATGTTTCATGATATTTTCTGATAACACAAACACTACAGAACTACTCTTGATAAATGATAACTTCCCACAAGCCAGCAGACCATGTGGGTGGTTACCTGTATGGAAAAGGGTTTTCCTTATGCTTGAGCACATTAACTAAAGGAAGTAAAATGCTAGCTATATTAGACCAGGAAGAACACTATGCTTGTTTAATGGTACATGCAGGTGGTCAATCTTAATTTATGCCTTCCATATCAACTCTAGTAATACCGAACATAATTAACCAACACCACTGTCAAGTCATTAACCAACACTAGGGTTAAGTATTTTGACAAGTATTGCTGAAGACACAGACTGAACAAACTAAAAGATTCCTATTTTATCATGCTACTTTAAAAGAAAATTTTACATTCATACTTACAAAAATCTCGACTCACAGACTCTAAGAAATATTCATATGCATGTACTATTTTTTTTCAAGTTTTCATCTGCAGTGAAAATAGCAGGAAAAAAATACTGGAAGAACCTGTAGGTTTACATTCAACACATCTTAATTCATATAATTATTCATTTTAATAATTTTTAAAATAGTTTGATGTCTATTTCTTATTCCTAGCACATAGATACTGAAAGGTAGAAAGTGCTCGACTGGCGTCCCCGTGAGCACCGGAAGTGGCCCCAGGAGTCCCTGGCTCCGCGGTACCCACCTTCGTCCTCGCCAGCAGCGGAGCTCCCCGCTCCAGCAGAAGCTCCACGGCCTGGTCGTGCCCACTCCGTGCTGCGCAGTGCAGCGGCGTCAGCCCGTCCTGCCGAGAGAATGACAGCGCTGGCCTTCAGTGCGTGTTGAATTTTGTTTTAAAACCAAGACTGCAAATATTGGGACTGTAAAGAGGGGGTTTGGGGACAGCAGAAGGCAGGAGAGGAAGGAGAAGTCAAAACGGTTAAGACGTAACGTGTTTGTGCACCTGTTCCTTAAGGTGAACCTATCATATATCGAAAACATACGCCACTTTTTTTTAAAAAACAGTGAATTTCCTAAGTTTCACTCTGATGACCCTATTGATCAGAAACAGACTTGCAACCACATAAGTGACAAGTGAACGTGAAAACAAACAGAAAGAGACCCCTGACAGAGAAAAACTGAAAGCAAGCTGGCAGCAGAAGAGATTGGGGGTGGGTGGGGGGGTCTATCAGCTGAAACTGGCTTTTGCTAGTTTGCATTGCCAAAAAGATGAAAAAGCGCGAGTGTTGCATTTGTTGAAAGTTAAAGCCCTACTCACTTGGAACCCAGCCAAGAATTATGTTACATTCTACTGCTTACAGGCTGGTTGCCCTAATACAACCTTCACCTCAAATTCTTTGTACTCTAACTTATTCACATATATTCTCTCTTGAACTCTCACTACTTTAATAAATTCTCCCAAAATGCACAAAGATGGTTATAAAACAGAATAGTTGTTTTTCAGATTCTGTAAGGATTTCCAATATATGTTTCCTTCTTTGTTGTTTTGGAGTTTTTTGAGATGGGCTCTTCTTGCTATGTAGTTCAGGCTGGCCTTGAACTCACTGTGTAGCCCAGGCTAGAGTAATTCCAGCCTACGTTTCAATGTTAGAAGTCATGGAATTATTTTCCAAAAATGAAGTTTATCAGTGATCCATAAATTCAAACACTGTTCAGCAGTCCTCCTATGTTACGTTATCCAGGGACGGTCCGACATCAGCGTGACCCCCAGATGCTCTCCATCTCCCCTACTTTAGTTCCTTTTAGGTCGGCACAGCTGAAAAGCAGAGTGGGGGGAAATATGAAGCAAAATTACAGTAACAAACAATGAGCACGAACAAAGAAATGGGGGCCTGCAAATGTAAGTGAAGCTAGTGATTGCAGTCAAGCCCACGTCACTGAGAGAGGTGGAGAGCACAGGTAGCAATCAGAGAAAAAGAACTACAGTGAGCAGCGAAGATTTTGGAATCTCCTGACTTACAGAACTCAAGCCTATCTTTTGTGTCTCTACTTCCAAGATGATCTTTCCAGATTACACGCTTCACCTGTCAAAAAGTGCTCTGGGATGCACCCTCTTTCTGGTACAACATTCAGGGCTCTCCGTGCTAGATGTCCTGCAGACGCTCCAGATCCCAGCACCAGGCTCCTCCCCTAAGCTCTGTGTCCTAACAGGTCGTATCACTGGGCTTCCCTGCTCTGGCTTCTGGTTTGGTTTGGCCAGCAGGAAAAGCAGCTCAGAAGGGAGCCTCGGAGGGCTCTCCCAACCTGCGGCGCCAAAGCAGCCTTCGTATGTGATTCTGCTGCTTCTCTCCCTCCCTGCCTAGGGGCGGTACCGAGCCCTGCAGTTACTGGCCCCACAATGTTATAATTTAACAAATCCTAATCAAATTATCAAATTTGAGTGTGTCATCTGTTTTTGCCTAGGACTTTGTCTGATAATGGTTCCTTACTTCGTTAAATCTATTTAGCAAATGTGAAATTATTGAATAATTTAAATAGATGTTGTAGTTTAAGGTATCTGAGAATTAATGTTAAGATTGGATTTCTAGTAAAAAGTATTTAGCTACTATGGTTGAGATGCTACAGTAAGTTTTAAAAGTTTACTAAGAAATCTTTTTTTTTTTTCTTTTTCTTTTTCGTTTTTACAGGTACCAGGGATCGAACTCACAACTGCCTGCTTGCAAGGCAGGCACTTATGCTGCTGAGCTAAATCCCCAGCCCCCAAGAAATCTTAAAAGGAAAGTGTGTTGGAAAAATGGTTAAAATAATTCTGCTTTCATATCTTTGATAATAGCACCCAGGGGGTCGGACAGAGCAGTTGTTGCTGTGTAAGTTATAGAATAACTCAATATAGTTTTGTTTCTCAAATACTCTTAATGGGGCTTTGTCGAGATTAAGAGTTGGGGAAACCCCAGGGAGGAAAGGGCAGTGTTCCAGACAGTGGTTCACAGTGTGGCCTCCAGAGTCACAGGGCTCTGGGGACATTTAAGATCAGGACGAAGGGCCAATCTCTTCGAGGCCCAGCTCCATGGAGATCAAGCTGGGGGTGAGTTTTCTTGCTCTGGTTAATTTACAGCCTTCTATGAAAGGTAAGGGAGGGGACGCTGCCCTAGGTCAGTTTCAGAAAAGGTAGGCCATGGTTTCTGTGGATTACACGAAACCTCTACTGTGTGATCACACTGAAACCTTCAGAGTACTTTTCTGGAGAATATTTACTATACATAAAGGAATTATAAGAATTAGATTAATTCTAAATCTTATATTTAATGATGTGATTGAACCTGCTCTTTTGAAAGATGTGAATGATGATATCAAAAACTCAAGTGGCTCAATCTGACAGAATTGGAATCTTTTCTACTCAGTACAGTATCAAGTTAATGCTAAGAGAAATTTCCTGCTCAGGGTTGGACTGCAGGAGCCTTTAAAATTCGCAAGCCTGTGTCTGAAGATTCTGCCTTCCTCCCTCCACAGTCCATTCCTTCAGTTGTCTTTTCTTTATTTCTAGAATCAGTTCAGTCACACTGATGTGCCAACACGATATTCTGAGTAATTCTAAAAAGGTGCAGTCAAGCGACTAGAGGAACATCATTTATCCAGCTGGTAACCTATGACTACTTCTTTCCTTATGCTTTCCTTTCCTTTTTCTCTGTTCGGGCATTATCCTAAGAAATGTGTCCTGAAATTCTGTTATCAGCATAAAATGCTAATAACTAGGCTGTGTGTCCAAGGTCACGTTATATGACTATGGGGAATTCATCTTTCCCTTTTGGTAGTCTCAGCTCTCAAATTAAGACATACATATTTCTCAATGAGAAAATAACACATACTTTATCGTCATTAAGAAGATTAAGTGATATACTTGTAGAATACTCAGCAGTGTGCACAGAACAGCATATGCATTTGTCAACTGGCCACTGTTTATTGTTATTACTTTAATTATTACATGTAATACCAAGTAGCAAGGATGATGTCTCTTTCTGGAATATTGTTTTTGTTCATCATCCTTTAATGTTTTTGTGCATTTTTATTGTTCATATTGAATACGCATTTCAGTATTTTAAGCATAATCCTCCTATGGGATGTCTGCACATTTAAATAATAAGTTTAAAAGCAATAAAAAATAATGCCCTTAATAAAGCCCGAGTTAATAATTTCATTTTAACTAGCTATACAATTTTTGCTTTAACATTAAAATGAGGTTTATGATAACAGCAAAGGGTTCTGGGTAAAAACCTCAAGAATTTTAGGTTAGAATCTCATCAGTGAGGAGAATGCCAGGGAGAGACACACTGCCTCAGTGATGATCAGAAAAGAGATGAGAGCTAGGGAGAAGCCCTGGGTCAGGTTTGTTTTTTAATTACCCTAAAGCCTCTACAGACCACATCTTTCTCTAGGTAATATTCTTATACAGGAGAAAAATAATGAGAGCTCAAGTCAAAATTCTTGATCAGATATTTTAAACTCAGAGCACTCTATTTGTGGTTCACGTGACTGCTAGAGGAAACTGAAAAATCTGCGGCAAAATGAAGGAATAGTAACACTTATTTTTAAAATTCTATTATAGGTCTACCATATTATCCAAAAAACACATTAAACATCTTCCTGTTTTTAAATATATTTTCAAGAGACAAGAGAAAAAGTGAATTATATCTCGTTATTTTAGTAATCACTTACTTTTATCCCAGAATTAGTGTCCTAGTGCCAACTGTGGTTGATTTCACTATTTACCTCTGACTTGATTTTGTCTTGGGTATTAGCTACCTCCAGAATGGAACGAATACGACAACTCTTTTAAAATCCTATTGCTCCGAGACAAAGAATCCTTTCACTGGGGCGGGGGGAATGCTCAGCACCATTCAATACTGTACCTTGCCCTGGTATGTGCTGTACGGTTTGCTCATAGAGACTACTGAGAGCTGGTTTCATGCCTCTCTTCCCAAGCCTGCATTGAATGACACTCTGATGGTAGCTCTAAACTAACCATTCTGGGGAAAAAATATCCATAGTGGAAATATTTATACCATGGAAACTGACAAAAGGCTGTAAGTCATGGCATTTGGTTTTGTCCTGTTTTTTAGAAAATCCATTAAGAAACTTTTACCAGCATACTGACCACCTAATCTCTTGCACACTAGTGATTTAAATTTCTGTGAAAGCAGAAGCTACCCTGCCTTGTTAACTACTGGATGCTGGGGTTCATGTTCCAAATAGGGACTGACTAACTACCTGCTAAAACAGCAAAAGAACAGAATGTTCCCACAATGTGCACAACTAGAAAATGTATTTTTTCTTTTTAAATCCTTGAGTGAAATTCCGTTTATTTGCTGTATATGGGCTTCACTGGAGGTGGTACCCTTTCAACCCTCTTAAAATGTTATTCTGAGTTTTAGATACTCCCAGTAAATAACATGATAGGCAGTAGAGTACAGCTGTTAAAAGTGACCATTATAAAGGCAAAGCTGCCTGATTTCAAATCCTACTTCTATCATTTTCTAAGCTACATAGTATTGGCTGAACTTAAGCTAGTACAGTTCTATGAAAATTAACACTTAGCTATATTACTTGCCTTTAAAAATGGGGCAGGTGAGTTATGGTCCAAATACTCACTTTCCAGTGCTTATAGCTCCTTGCTAACTGCATAAGGACAATTTAGTAATGGTAGAACTAGCATAAGAATCTAATTCTTTTCATTTCTTAGGACTCTTTTGGTAAAAACACACTGCCTATTTAGATTTTTTAATTGAATATGCAATGCATATAAACTAGGGCATCATCTAAAGAACCAATGAAATAGTGTGATGATCAGTAACAACATGCTTGTTTTTTCCAAAAAACAAGTAATGAATGAATACTCCAGATAAACATAACACAAAACATAATATGAATTCATAAGACACTGGTGAAGATAAAAATAAAAACCTTTGGATGTCTTTCCACTGGCAATTTCAATTAGTAGAGACTCTTCATAAAAACCAAAGATCTGGTTAAAGGACTGTGTTAGTAATATAAGATTATATTATAAGAATGCTTAAAATCTTGCTGGAGTCTGTGATTAATAAATCTTCTCCAGAGACCTGATATTAGAATACTAGCTATATGTTAAAGAAAGTAATTGCTTATAATGTCAGAAGTATTCAAAATCTATGAGTAGCAAAATAACTCACCTGCCCCATTTTTAAAGGCAAGTAATGTAGCTAAGTGTTAATTTTCATAGAACTGTACTAGCTTAAATTCAGTCAATACTATGTAGCTTAGAAAATGATAGAAGTAGGATTTGAAATCAGGCAGCTTTGCCTTTATAATCGTCACTTTTAACAACTGTACTCTACTGCCTATCATGTTATTTACTGGGAGTATCTAAAACTCAGAATAACATTTTATTTAAGAGGGTTGAAAGGGTACCACCTCCACCAAGATGACACAAGTGAAGGGAAGCTTTCTTCTATAAGCATAACAGCAAATCTCAGGTCAGTACAAATATAACCTGTATGAAAAATAAATTAGGAATCAAATAAAAGGGAAATATTTGCCAGATATTTTAAATAAAATTCACATTTTAACATAACTAACATAAACTGATAAACTTGGCTTTTTGGTATTTACATCAAACCAAAAGACAGATGTTTAAGTCCAATCTTTTCTTTTTGTCCCTGGAAAACCAATAAGCTAAAATTTGAAAGACTGTCATGGTGCAGGGCCTACGTTATGTTTCTCTGGATGTTTATGAGCAATCACTAATTTTATTTTATGATATGAAACTTTTATGTGTTGTACAGGATTTAATCAAAGATGAGAAAGCTACATCCTTAAAAACATAGTGGCCTGTGCGTACTGACGAGGGTTTGTTTCACAGTGCTTGCTAAGAGGATACAAGCGATCATGGGGTAGAGACACTCACCCGGGTCTTGGCGTCGATCTGACCACCCCGGTCCAGCAAGAGCTTCACCATGTTTGTGTTGCCCCTTTTTGAAGCCACATGCAGAGGAGTGATTCCATTCTACACAGGAGGAAAAACCAAAAAGAGCAAGCTCAGTGCAACAGTGCAGGGCAACAAGACTTTGGTTTAAATGGCACAAAAGTGGCTGCGACCCACATTGTAATCTGACCCACAATTTCCAAGTTTTTGATTTTTAAGAGTCAAAGAAGCACAGAAACTATAATGCACTACTGTTACAGAATAAAAGATGGAATGATACTTCCTAAGTGAGTCAGTGTCTACTGTGCGTGTACTGGATGTACACTTGCAGTCAGACAAAGGGAGGACCCTGTAACAGAAAACGAAGCCCACGTTCTGCTGCCACAGACCCCCAGCACAGCCTTTCTTTTTATAATACTCATGCACTTAAAGACCTTGGGGTTCAATGTTTTCCATGCGTAAAAACATATTATAAATAGACATATCAATACCAAGTGGAACAATGGTTCTTAAAAATCTGCAGAATAATTCAGTAAGGAAAACAACTTGAAAATAGACCAACAACATAGTTTCAGGGTAGAAGACATTCGAGGACAAAAACACTATACATAGGAAAGAAATTTATCTATTTTATTGGCTGTCCTGTGTTGTTATTACAACAAGGACATGATCTGAATTTTTGTGTTATAATTTCTGAATATTCACATACTGCATTAACTGACTCAAATGCTGTTAGGCATATGAATTTTATAACCACTATGAAACGAATTCTTTCCAATGAAAGTAAATCACTAATATATCACTCCATGTGATATGTTTCTATGTATCATTCTTTAAATGAATGAATTCTCAAGTCATTAAAAAACATTTCCTGCCAAATTATGTGCCCTCTTACCACTGCAAATTACAATACCTATCTATTTGGTGCTCAATGTTTTAACATGGTTTTCGTTGTTTACTGACTTGAAACTGATCTCATGATTTATGGCACTTAACTGCTCGAACTGATGCCAAAATTAACGGCCTCTGAACCTATTGCAAAAGATAGGTGTGCCTGGGAACTTAGGACATTCTTACTTTTTTATACTTGCGTCATGAAAACTTCCTACAATCTGCAGAAAAATACACAGAAAAATCTAACATCTTTAGGAAGATCCAAGAAGCGGGGAAAATAGAACCTTTAAGGAAGCTGTTGGCTTTTATCTACACCTCCCTAAAGCCCCGTTGCCATCACGTCGTGGGCGTACCCTGGCCGTGAAGTCCACCGCGGCGCCACGGTTGAGGAGCAGAGTGGCCACGTTGACATTCCCATAGTGTGCGGCGATGTGCAGCGGGGTGAAGCCGCTCTGCGGAGCAAGGAGACACGGTTACAGAGGTGCTGCACCGTGCAGCCACTGAGTTGATGAGGGCAGTCACATGGGCCCTGTCTATCTGCTGTGACAACAACGCAACTCCCATCAACCCTAAATACTGCTTCTCAGTGTTATAAGGAGGTAAGTAGTTACACCAAGCCATGAGAAAAAATTATATATTGGCAACATTGCCTTTACATCTTCATCTATTTGGGACTTATTTGAACAGAATCATGTTTCTTGAGTTGGTTTAATGTACTGGAGAAAAAGAAAATATAACTGAAGAACATAAAGCTTCAGCTACAGTATTAACATAATTATGAATAAAGATTTTTTCAGAGAAAAATTCAAAACTAGTGCTCATGATTTCTTTTAAAGAGCACTGGTTGATATTTTATCTTAGGTCCTGAAAATGCTGTGAAAAAGTCACAAAGGATGCAAAGTTAATTTCACATCCTACACTGTTGAGATGTTCCTATTCCCTTCCACAGCTGGTTAATCAGACTGCTTTATAATAAAAAAGAATTAAAAATCAAAATTAATGCATTTGGTGTCAATATGAAAATACAATAAAAAGTTAAGATTAATTCTGAGTGATACTTAAAAGTTTTTTCAATGAAATTAAATGTGATTAAATCAAGCCATTTAAATCTATAATATGGGCATTAAAGAAATGGTTACTCTCAAAATTTAAAAAAGAAGCCTAAAAATCTTTAACGAAGAAAAATGTCTTTTTTTTCTCTTAAAGCCAAAGAAATTTTTGGTATTTTCACAATAGCTGTGACATGCCCATTAATCTTTATTTTATTAAAATGTACAAAGAGTGACAATTTTCCTCTATAATTTACAGTGTTTAATAAGAGTATGGAAAAAGTAGAGGGGCTTAACTGGCTATCAAGTCCTGCAGTTTCCAAATTATTTTCTAGAGCATCAATGTGTAGCATATTGTTTTAAAGAAATATTTTCTAAACTATAATCACTGTTCTTCTGTTAGGTGGATACACAGCTAAATAAACATTCAGAGAACTTAGGTGATGTAAATTTTTTTTCTGTGCTATTGGCAATATTAGCTGTAAATAATTTCTGACTGCAGGAAAGCAAGACACAAATTAAGAATAGTAACTATCAACCAAATCACACAACTATGGTCAAGATATTTTTAATTTGCATCTAAAAGATGTCAAATATTCATATTAGACAAATCAGTCTACAGCCCGCTGTTATCTTACAAAATGTCAAATGTGTATACTTTAGGACACAATGGACTGAAGTTTTTTATTTTTCTGTTTTCTGTCATCCAGATATATCCTGAATGTATATCTGTTACACAGCTACAGCTTAATTTCAGAAAAAAAAAATTTGACTGTTGGTGGATCATCTCCAAATTATTTAAATATAATAATGCAATTGTTTTTCTCATTTTCAAAAATAAACTAACTGGTTAGCTGACCTGTCCTAATTGACGTTGCACTGTCGTGCATCAGGCTATGTACTGGGTCAACACTGGCTGGCATAAGTCTACTCTGAGGACACTTCTGTTTTTCTTTGCAAAAATATAATAATGTATCACTGACACACCTTCACGGACCACCCATGGTCATGCCTGAGGCCGACTCTAAGGTCAGCAGTAGGCTGATCAAACGCTGTCTGAGGACTTGCCTGATTAAGGCAAAGCACACCTTTCCCCGGATTTTAGATGAGGGCTTCCCACTGATACTCCACTGAACTTAGACAGACACTTGTACCTCCATCTGAATCCATCCAAATCATAGCCTTCAGCACAAACCCTATAGCCAATACTGCTTTCAAAAATGTACCATAAACAGTAATCCAAGAGCACCCCAGAAACTAAAGGTATTAAAACCTGTAACAAAGATCACTCTGTATGATCCCAGGGTTCCCTGGATAATTTTACCAAATCATTAGGCTTCAACTTTCTAGGTTACAAGCATGGGTATGAAATTAGTGATACTGATATTTCTAATATATTGTAGACATGTTCAAGACATAATAATTGCAGAAATACATCCTTCTCAGTGAATACCAAGTGAACATGCCATAGCCTTCACAAGTCCACATGGCAGTGATCAAGTAGGAAACCTCTTCGTGCCCAGGGTGGTAATGCACTCCTGGAATCCCAGCACCCTGGGAGGCTGAGGCAGGAGGACAGCAAGCTCCAGCCCAACCTGAGCATCTTAGGGACTTACAGTGACCCTCTCTCAAAATGAATACAATAAAATGGCTGGGATATAGGTTAGTGTAAAGGCTCTTGATTCAGTTCACACAGTACAGGGCTGGGAGTTTAGCTCTCTTAGTTCAATTCACAGTACAAGGCTGGGAGTTTAGCTCAGCGGTGTAAGTGCCTGCTTGGCAAACACGAAGTCATGAGTTTGATCCCAGCAGCCCTCCAAAAAAAAAAGCTTCACTGAAGCAAGAGTCACTTTCCTTGGCACACAGATTAATTTTTGTAACACACTTCTGATACCATTTGTATGGTGGTGTGGTGCAGTAGCAGCCAAGGAGAGACCACACATACAAGGAGGCGACCTCATTCAGTGTGAGAAGAAAGAGTTAATGTAAGTATTTCAAGACTACAAGAAAAACCAACTGCTGTGTGTACCATATGCTCTATGTTATTACAACAGTGTGGTAAAGCCAAAAGCACACAGGAAAAAAAAAGGAGCAACTATATTAGATAAAGAGATAAAACACAGTAGCAGAGAAACCTCCTAATTTTCATTTCCCTAATCTCGTTAGCTCTAAATTTTTTTATTTTGGGGTTTTTTGAGACAAGGTTTTGCTTCACAGTGTAGGCTGGCTTTGATCTCACTATGTAGCCCAGGTAAGCCTCCTGCCTCAGCCTCCTTAATGCTGGGATTACAGGTGTGCCCCACCATGCTTGGCCATCTCCCTAATCTCCAACCTGAGAATTCTCACTAGGAAAATAGGACTATATCCATGCTTTTCAAAAGTTAAGAATACAGGCCACCTCTTTAGTGTATATGTTAAGGGGCCGAAGATTTAACTCAATGCGCAGTGCCTGTCAGTCCAGGGTGAGATCATGAGTTCAATTCCCGGTACAAAACAACAACAACAAAAAAAAAAAAAAAAAAAAAAAAAACAGAACAGAACAAAACAAAGCATGTTAAGGAAGTGTTTTATTTCATGCTCTATTTTTTTTACAAACTAAAAAGTTGCAGGAATTTAATAAGACTTCAAATATAGATTGCATTGAAATATATATGAATTACCAGTTTCTTTAATTATGAGAAATGTTTTCAAGTAATTCCCAATTAATGAAACTTTTAATCATTAGTATGAATTAGTGCATGTTTATTCTAACTGGGAAAAAACTAAAATAAATAAAAACAAGGTAAATGTTGGTATAGTCACAATACTGTACCTCGGTCGTCCTATTCACCATCATCTGAAGCAGTGTTGGTGGGAAGAAGAGGAAGACATTACACAGCGAAAACCGAAAGAGCCATCCATCTATCGCTGCCACTGGGCGCCCTACCCAGCCTGCCAAACACAGTGACTGAGAAGGGAGCCTGCAACGCCGGCAGGAGCAAGCCTGTGTGTCTAGCCCTTTTACTATCTTATATGAACACAAGCAGTAAAGAGGCAGACCATTCAATAGCTGAGTCTCACCCATTCAAGAAATCATCCTGTATTTAACTGTTTTGTTACTGCACCCAATAGCCAGTCCCCTTCTTTCTGAAATACCTTGGAAGGAATGGATCTCTTTCTGTGCATGGACGTGATTCTGCATCATCACCGTGGCCCACTTCCTGGTCTCCCTGAGGAGCCCTGCAGCCGGGAGCTCCTCCCCTAAATGCATTCAGCTCTCACCTTGGATTGGACGTCAGCGTTGTGATCATTCTGGAGCAGGAGTGCGGCTGACTTGGTGTCATCTTTCCGAGCTGCAATGTGCAGAGCTGGCAGCCTTACTTTGCCTTTGGTGTCGTTCTCCAGGAGGATGGCCACCGCCTGGTTGTGCCCTTGCTGGAGCGCCACAGCGAGAGGCGTGAAGCCATCCTGGTGGGTGGAAGGCAGAAGACTTCCATTTCACTCATGCATGCTTGGGATTCAACTCCACGTAACGTGGCCTCTACAGTTTCTACTTGTGACTCTTTTTTTATTTTTAGTATATGCTAATTTTCAGTAGATGGTGAATTAGTACGATGCAGATTGGCTCTTGAGCCTTTTTGCTTCCTCTTTCCCTCTCCGATGTTCACCTCTTGCCTCAGCCTCAGATCCCCTTCCCATCTCTGTAATGTAATCCCTGTTCCCTATCACTGCCCTGTCATTTTCCCCTTCACACACTTTTAGTTTCTCTTATAAGAGAAATCACACAGTACTGAACCTTCTAACCTTATTATTATTTATTTCACTTGGCATTATGGTCTCCAGATCCAACCATTTTCCTAAAAAGGTTCAAATCACAAATTTATCCTTCTTTATGACTGTGTAATATGGATCATATTCCTTTATCCATTCATCTGTTTGAGACAGTGCCTCTAAATTTTAAAGCAGCGATCAAGACTGATAGGCAAGAGGAACAAATGTAACTGTGAAATCAGAAGCAATTATAATCAATCATTTGTCGATCTATAGGCCAGTTTAATGGGGTTGCTTTACTGATTTCTACTCTACACATTTAAAATTTTTATTCTATACATTCAATACATCATAAAAAAGCACTACATTACTTAACAGAATAAAAGAGTAAAGCATGTGTTCAGAAGAAAAATGGAAACTTACATTTAGAATCTTGCTTGCTACAAACTAAATCCTCTCTGAATGAGGAAAACATGCATTATCCTTTACATATATAATTCTATCCCTAAAACACTGCAGTACTTTATATTAAAAGTATGAAATTTATTTTTTTCTCACAGAAATGTTCACTCACAGAATAGGATCTCATGAAAAAGACTTTAGCCCTCAATTTTGCTAAAATTCAGGAAGAAGAAAGAGAGTAGAGATCCATAAAAATAGTACCAGGGAACAGAGCATCCTTTTGAGAGGCTTGAACCTAGGTCTCCACTACACATTTCATTTGAAACTATTTTATGGGAGAAAGCAAAATATTTGGAATTTCTTCAAGTCCTTCAACTAAGCCTAGGAAAAGGAAATCCATGTTAAAGGTCAATGCATAATTATTTGCTTTTTTAATTGGCTATGGTGTCTTGATAAGTCATTTTTTTCACATTAGAGCTATTTAGACATACAGCATATAATACGAATTCCAACCAACCACATACCTTTATAATAAAAGTATGTATATTTTGTAGAATGATACACTTAAAAATGTGCAAAGGTTCATGCATATGTGTGGGTCTTGATAACAATCAGGATCAATGGTGTGGCTTTAATGAATTAAAATTTATATACATCCAAGCATGAAAAATCAATTTTAGTTACTTAAGCAATTATTTAAATGAAACAAGGTATACACACATGTAGAAGCTAGAATTTAAAACTTCAGATAATTTATCAGCAAAAGCAGGATTTGGGTGTAGAAATCAAAGAGGGCTTTAAGCTTCTGCATATCTCAGTGTAACTTGGCCTCTATCTGTGCCACGCAAATACAGGGTTATTTTGGGAACCACACCAAATGCTACAAAGGTCTAGGCCAAAGGAGCCATGCGCCAGCTGAGAATGTCAGGGAGCCGAGTTTACTCCAGCCACACACTAGAGACATTAAGTCAACTTGCTGAAGGAAGAACTCAGGTGTAAAAGTCTCTGAATAGGATCTCATGAAAACGACTTTAGCCCTCAAATTTGGTAAAATTCAGGAAGAAGAAAGAGAAATTAAACAGCAATGATTTTGCTTTCAAGGAAAGAGAATATCATAGATTTTCTCATTCTGGTTCATGTCTAGGAGATGCGGTCTCTTTGTTGCCCGAGCACTACTGGATGTATTTATATGCTACTCGTGGGCAGCATCAGAGACTCCAGAAAAGGAAAAAGGTCCCAAATCATAAAAATCACATTGCGCTCATGTGGCAAGACTGTAAAATCTATGTATACTGAATAGGTAAGATGAAATCATTTCATACCAGGCAAATGTGTTTTACACGTAGCAGGAAATGTGTTCTCATGAGCTCTTCACTAATGAGAATTAGTTGTCAGAAACGGATTGCTACTAGTTCAACCAAGAGTTTTCTCACCAAAAGCCTGGAAATAGAATTTAAAAACCCTCCCTTCAATGCAGTGTAGAAGCCTGTTCACGTTCATTTTGTTAACCACGTCATTGTCTGGGAAGAAAGCCATATTCACCATTAAACATCAAGATGCTTTTTAGGTTACGACCATCTATTGGCCGTGTTTCACTCCTGCCTGGAGTTCTAAAATTTTATCAACGGGAACACAATATGGAGTAGAAAAAAAGCAATCAATGTGTGCACGCTCTGTTGCCAGAGTTGAGAAACTCCACAGAGCTCCTCTCTCTTTTCTGCCCGCTCACTCATTCCCTGCCTTCAGGTGGACCCAAAAGCTTTCTCCAAGCCTAAGTGGCTTCTGGAATATCACTTGCAAATCGCTGCCCCAGACAATCTTTGGATTTGCTCTTGAATCTGCTTACGCAAAAATGAGACAGAAAACACAAAGCAAGTTCCGCTTATGAGGTGGACACGTGTAGCAAAGGAAAGTGGTGTTGTGAGAGTCGCTGCCATCTCCAACCCTTATGTCTAGACATCTCGATGACTATGAAACCGGACCAAAGTTCAACGTTTCATTCACTTGTCGTAATTACAGTTATACACAAGGGCATTTTTAGTGACCTGTAACACAGGGCATGGTGTCAATACAAATACAAATGCATTATTTCTAATGGCTAGAAATTGTTCCTTCCAAGGAATTTTATTGGATTATAGCAATATAAAATATTGAAGAAAAGAGGTAGACAGGAATTATTGTCATCTAATTTTAGGATAGTATAAAAACACCAAGAGGTATAGAGTGTGCCAAATTGACAGAAGCACAATTTCCTATAAGAATACACAGTGAAGGCATAAGCTCCTCCTGACAGCGTATACACAGCCTGGGTTATGCATTCATGGGCACTACTGTAGACTGTAACAGTGATGTAAACATTGCTAACATATCTGAGACACAATAATAGTGATCCTTAGCAACTGGTATAAAACACATGGGCATTAAGATCAAATTAGTCAAGACCAAGGACAGTCTTACCTCAGTAGCAGTGCTCTGATTAGCGCCGTTTTCCAACAGGTATTTTACAACATCAATGTGGTTCTCTTGGGCAGCCATGTACAAAGGAGTGAAGCCATTCTGAAGAGAAACAATACAAAAGATGATATTGCCATCATCTGTGAAGCTTAAACCAGGGAAGCACACCAAACAAGGAAGGAAAAGTATGCGAAGTGAACCTGTGAAACAGTGAAGCTGTGCAACATACTCCTGCATACGTACAGTTACATTCTAACTCACACACGGCTCCTAAGGGAACAAGGAGACAAGGATAGCACAGGAACACCTCCATGAGATGGTGTTTCTACTGCAGTACCAGAGCCACACTCCCCATCGCTTAACACCATTAAACTAAGATACGTAGTATCTTAATATCTGTACAGAGTCCTAACTATATATATATATATATATATATATATATATATATATACACATATATATATGTATGTATGTATGTATGTATGTATATATAACCCATATAAAATGATATGCATGTAACATCTTCTGTACTTATAAATGCATAAATTAAACAGAACAATTATCTCAGTATACCCAACTTAGCACTGTTCATGGTATAAATTACCACTGTACTAAAACAGACTAGGAGAGATTGCAAATTGGATTGAAAATGAAAAAAATCTGCATTTCAGTGCTCTGACTGTAGTATCACAGTACTGGACATTTTTATATTCTTTTCAAAGCCATTGTGAAATTTGATAATTCATTCTCACATTCACTCAATTATTTACTAAAATTCAGCCACCCACAGCTGTGGTCTCACCAGGCTATAATGACAACACAAACACACATATCGTCATAGACTACATACTACAGCAATCCTTACAAACATATAAACTCGGGGCTGGGGATTTAGCTCAGCGGCATAAGCACCTGCCTTGCAAGCAGGCAGTCGTTAGTTCGATTCCTGGTACCAATAAAAAAAAATCACAAATATATAAACTCCATAAGAAAAACACCACAAAAATGTATCTTTAATGTGTAATAATTCAAACTCTCAAGAGACTAACAATTTTCTCAAAACTATGCCAGTCTTAAATATAGATAATTCCCTTAAACTTCCCATACATTAATGAGAAAAAGTAAAAAGCTAGGAAAATGTTCAGAGATTTTCAAAAACTTAAAAGAGGAGGAAAAAATCATTTTTGAAATACTTCATTGAAATAAATAACCTGATGAATAAGTATGGAAAAATTATACAAAATTTCAAAGATTCAGCAAGATATAAACAAGATACACAAGTCAATTAAAGAAAACAATTTGAAATTTGATTATAAAAGAAAACCTGCAGGCGTCAAATGGTGGAAGAAATTTGAAACCTGAAAAGAAATGTTATTTTAAGAGCAGGATATTAAGAATGTTGTAGGATTCAGGAATCACGTGCTAGCTGGATAGCATATTTTTAAAAAACACAGCAAGCAGGTGAAATCTTGTGTATTTTAGGAACACTGAAGAGGTGGCGGAAGGAGGGAATTAGAGATTCAAAGCAAAGGGAAGCCAGGGGACAGTGGTTAACAACAACGAGTGGGCGTGCCATGGGGATCTCTCGTGACAAGTAAAAAGGGACACAATAAAGGAAAAAGAACTTGTGCTGGAGTACCACAGTTTGCTACTGTGCTTCCTCTGGGAGATGCTGGAGACAGATCAGGAAGAGAGGAAATAGGGCGTGGCTGCCGGATTGGCAGAGGAAAGAGTTCAGTCCTCAAGGCTCTGTCTACAAATGCCCCATCCCTGAGTTTTCAGCTGCAAAGGGCGGTCCCCTGATTGACAGGAAGGAGACACACCGGCCATGGCTCCACAGCTCCCTGACTTCCAGACCGCACCCCAGGCATCAGGCTGTCCAGCACCCCTGTTCTATGTGAGGTCCCAGGGTTTACTTAGATGTCTGCCTATCAACTCCCCAAATGTCTTTTGGTCAAGTGAATAATGGCTCTCATCCATGTCTTAATCTCTGGGACCTATAAATTCAACCTTATATGACCAAAGGGACTTTGCAGATGTGATGTAGTTAAAAAGTCCTCAGACGGGAGATTATCCTGGGCTGTCTGAGGGGGCTCAATGCAATCACAAGAGTCACTGGATGAAGAAGCCAGGGAGAAGAGGAGATGGTCCTGCTGTGAGATGGCATGGAGGTTCCAGGCTCTTGTCTCATTCTAAGAACTTTTCAGCACAATTGATGGACTTGAAAGTTTGACATTTATTTAAAGGTGCAAAAAGAAGGTACAAGAAGAAACAAGAGTGAAGAGACACCCAGAGAATAGCCACTTAGGAACAACAGGGCAGTGGCAGCAAAGTCAGCACCATTCTCTTTCACGTCTTCTGTTCACATCACATGCAGGCCATCCCATGCAGGGCTTCACAGCCGCCCTGTGCATGCATCCTGGCCATGATCTGTGAGCTCTGCATGGCTGACCAGTCACACTGCTGTCCAGCTGGTTGGCCATGCTCTGATCTCCTGCCTCACTGCCTCACCAATGGCCTTAAAGATGGAGGAAGGGGCCGTGGTCTGAGAAAATGCAGCTCCACAAGCTCTTCCAGCAAGGAAATGGGTTCTCACCTAAGCCCACAAAGGTAAAAGTAGTGGCAGCAACTTCATCTTAAAACTAAAAGAAACTTCCAAAACTATGAGAGAATAATCTGCTTATTCTGTAAATTCGGCCCTGAATCTGTAGCGTTTATTACAGCAGCACCTGGAATCTCACACACAGGCTACGAGGAGCTTCCCAGGAAGGCTGGAGGTGGAGGTGAAGAGAGCTTGGACAGGTGTGGGCCACATGTCCTCATCGCCACAGCCAACACTCGTGAGGAAGAGAAGATAGGCCGGCCGTGGGCTGGGGTCCCCAGGTGCAGCTCCTCCCACGCCACTGGCCAGGCTGGGGCCGCAGGGACCTAGATGTCCAAACATGGACCTGTCGTGTTGCTGCAAAGACACACTCATCAGTGTAGGACAGGCTTATCTAGCAGTCTGCCAGCTGCATCTGTAGCTTCCAGTTTTAAGAACAGGTCTGCCCTCTTCTCCTGGGACTTGCAAGTGTCTGAGGTGATTAAAAGTGGCATACAGAAGGAAGATAAGTGCTGGAGAAAATTTTCAAGATTTACAACACACATGTCAGAAGAGGACAGGACAGTGAGAGCAGACACTCAGGATCCTGGCCACAGTGCGTCATAAGCATCATTTGTGTGCCCTGGGGCACAGCCTCCTGTGCCAGCACTGCCAGCAGAGAACAGAGCAAACATGAGGAATAATAAAAACAGAAGTATTGAGCCAGGCGTGGTGGCTCACGCCTGTAATCCCAGCACTCAGGAGCCTGAGGCAGGAGGACCATGGCATATTGGAGACCAGCCTGGGCTACAAAGTGAGCTCAAGGCCGGCCTGAACTGCACAGCGAGACCCTGTCTCAAAAAAAATAAATAAATAAATAAAAATAAAAAACCAGAAGTACTCTGAGTGCACTGCTCAAATGAAAGTAACTGCAAGCCTGGCTTGCATAGGATGGCCCGCGCTTACACACACCATCCCAGCATCGCCATCAGCAGCCTCTGGCCCCTCTAGTCCTCCCTCTCATGCCTAGAACAGCACAGCCACACTGGTGTCATCAGTCCCCCTCTAATGAGGCAGCAGAGGCTCCAGTATTGAGGTGATTTCACCCCAGTCCTGCAGCGAGTAAGTTAACTGGAGGTGGCACACAGGTGCCAGTTCATGAATAACACCTTGGGATGGAAGTGAGACTTTCTCCTATGGCTGAGAGGACCTCAGCCTGGCTGGAAGGTAGAAACTCTCTCAGAAAGTATTAGTAATGACAGAGCCCCTCCTTACCCTGCCCACAGTAAACCACAGTCACCATGACCCATGCACATTTTAGAAAAGTTCATGCAGGTAAAAATGCCTTGGGCTGGGGTGGTAGGAGACAAGAATGGAAGCAAGTTTCAACTTCTGCAGCATGTTTAACAGAGTACATAGAAGAAAAAAACACAAAGGAAATAAGCCAAGGAAACATTTTGATTAAGAGATGGAGAAGCTATTTACTACTGTAAACATGAGAAATAGTCCTCAGTATGTTCCTAAAAGAGTACAGTAAGACTACTACAGAACAGCAGCACACCCACGCTCCCCTCAGCTCAGGTCACAACCACTAAGCCCCAGGAACAGTGCAGACGCCTGTCAACCAGTAAATGGATAAAGAAAATGTGGTACACAACCATGATGGAAAATTATTCAGCCATAAAGAAGATCAAAATCACGTCAGTAGCAGCAAAATGTGGAACTATGTAACATCGTGTTAAATGAAATAAAGCAGTGCAGCGTCAAGATCTAACTTTTTCTTTTTCTCCTCAGAGCAGAATTACTTATCCGGCTGACCACAGCCTTCCTGGAGTCCCAGCATGGCTGGCAGGCACTACTCGAGTTACCATGGGGATACTGCTCGCCACTTCTTCCTGAGTTAGCGTTATGACAGACACGGTCAGGAAGCCCCCGGAAATCGTCACCAATTCTCACCAGGCCAGGGCGACTCAAATTATTTCCCTAAATGTGTAGTGAGAGCACAGCTGCAAAGGATGGGGAAAAAACCATGAGTACTAATTGTAGTCACTAAAATCAGGACTCCTTTTAGCGTTTTGGAGCGCACTTATTGCAAACCAACAGAATCTTACTTGTTTGGTAATTCACGAAGCTGACCCGTACTGCTCATGTAGGTCCGTGCAGATCAGTACATAGTTTAAGGCACACATCATGCTACATTGTCTTGGACACAGTGACAGGCCCAAGTCTGCATGAGGAATTAAGCAGCTCCAATTAATTAAATTCAGGATTCTCCTTTGGAAAGCTGAACAGATATGCTCTCTTCCTTGGACTGGGAACAAGAAAAAGCATGGTTCCAATCTCAGGTCCACAATGGAGCCAGACTAAGAAAAATCTCATGCAGCGGAAAGGGAAAGGAGTGTGAGTCCTGACTATGAACGGGCCTGGGAGGAAGTCTGTCCCCACGCTCACCCCACCTGACTTTCGGTTCATCAAAGCCAAAGATCATGTTTGTATTTTCCCAAGTATGAGGGGAGCTTTC